TTCCTGTCCCTTCTGTCACTCTAAGACAATCAGAGACAGACAACCTGGTAATGTCATCTAGACACTCCCTGTCCACTCTCTTTCTAAGACAATCAGAGACAGAAGAGAAGACAACCTGGTATTTGCATCCAGAGACTCCCTGTCCCCCCCCCCCCCCTCTCACTCTCTCTCTCTCTCTCTCTCACTCTAAGACAATCAGAGACAGAAGAGAAAGACAACCTGGTATTTGCATCCAGACCCTCCCTGTCCTCTCTCTCTCTTATTCTAAGACAATCAGAAACAGAAGAAAAAGACAACCTGGTATTTGCATCCAGACACTCCCTGTCTCTCTCACTCTAAGACAATCAGAGACAGAAGAGAAAGACAACCTGGTATTTGCATCCAGACTCTCCCTGCCCTTTCTCTCTCTCTCATTCTAAGACAATCAGAGACAGAAGAGAAAGACAACCTGGTATTTGCATCCAGACACTCCCTGTCCTCTCTCTCTCTCACTCTAAGACAATCTGAGACAGAAGAGAAAGACAACCTGGTCTTTGCATCTAGACTCTCCATGTCCTCTCTCTTTCTCTCACTCTAGGACAATCAGAGACAGAAGAGAAAAACAACTTGGTATTTGCACCCAGACACTCCCTGTCCTCTCTCTTACTCTAAGACAATCAGAGATGGAAGAGAAAGACAACCTTGGTATTTGCATCCAGACACTCCCTGTCCTCTCTCTCACTCTAAGTCAGTCAGAGACAGAAGAGAAAGACAACCTTGGTATTTGCATCCAGACACTCCCTGTCCTCTCTCTCTCTCACTCTAAGACAATCTGAGACAGAAGAGAAAGACAACCTGGTCTTTGCATCTAGACTCTCCATGTCCTCTCTCTTTCTCTCACTCTAAGACAATCAGAGACAGAAGAGAAAAACAACCTGGTATTTGCACCCAGACACTCCCTGTCCTCTCTCTTACTCTAAGACAATCAGAGATGGAAGAGAAAGACAACCTTGGTATTTGCATCCAGACACTCCCTGTAGTCTCTCTCACTCTAAGACAGTCAGAGACAGAAGAGAAAGACAACCTTGGTATTTGCATCCAGACACTCCCTGTCCTCTCTCTCTCTCACTCTAAGACAATCAGAGACAGAAGAGAAAGACAACCTTGGTAATTGCATCCAAACAGTTCCAGGCTGCCAGCAACAACTTCTCATCATTGCGGGCCAGCAGTCCAATCAGGCCCCGGAACAGCTGGGGCAGGTACTCGCTGACATCGGCCTCCGTGTGGGCACAGAAAGTGTTGAGAATGAGGACCGCTGCTGTGCAGACTGGCGCGTCAGTGTTGTGTGTGATCACTGACAGCAAGTCTTCCATGACGGTGCGCACACCCAGTTCATCCTCCACAGACAAGACTACAGACTTGCAATAATCTAGTTCCTATTGGAAGACAAGAACAACCTAGTCAGTGATTGAAACATAAACAACTAGTCAATTTGGTTTACACAACAGATCAACATCATGGCACAAGGGTAGTTACCCAAAAGTGCTCCATTCTACTTCTAACTCAAGCCTGAGTCTAAAGAAACTTAGCGCAGTGCACAAACTCTGTTGCACCGGCAAGAATCCTGAAATACTTTAGGTAGATTTATAACTCCAAATTTTCATGGGCAGCGCCATAGGCTACTCTTTTAGATTTCCAACTGCCGAGGGATTTACCAGGGAAAATTACTAGAAATCCACTTGTAAAAAATCCTAGCCTTCACTGGGATCCACTCATTCAGTGATAAAACAATCAGACAACACACAACTGACACCGATCCTCGTCCGGTGTACCAATCCTCTTATTCAGTGATAAAACAATCAGACACACAACCAACCTGATCCTCCTCTGGTGTGCCGATCCTCTCACTCAGAGATGACATCAATGCAGGTAAAATTTTGCCCAGGTGTTTGGTCAGGGCTTCTCCAGCGACAGACGACAGGAGAGACAAGGCTTTGGTGTTGACAGGTGTTGCTGTCAGCTTTATGGAAAAACAAGCAAGGGCGCAGTTGAACATGGCAGTCACCTTATTACTACAGCAGATACAATATAACAGTTTATGTACAATAAAATTTAATTTAAAAAAACAACACACACACACACACACACACACATAAAAGACATAAAAAATGAGGGGATGTCCCAAAGGTTTCCCAATATGACGTAGGAGGGTCAAGGCGAAGTCAAGTGAGTAGAACCCAAGCTGGAAGAACTCGCAAATTCTGTTTTTAGCTGAACTGTTGAAATTAGACCACCGGTGGAAATGGGGGGAAGGTTTCAAGGTGAGAGATCGAGTCAGTTTGTGTTTGACCGTAAGAGAGGAAGGTTGTCGGGGTCGGTTGACTGATGAACCTGTGATTGCTGAAGAACCGAACGAGGACAGAGAACTCATGGCAATGGCAGAAGAGGAATGATTCTGACTTGTTATGTCAGAATCTTTGTGGCATCTTGGCTGAGATGCAATATCTCAGCGTGTGTGAAACGAACGGACCGAAAGGTAACTGAGTGTTATTATTCAATTGTGTGCCAGCTGTGACAGTGTTTGTGCGGGAGTCTGAATACAAGTGAGAACATCAGACAACGACTGGACGACACCTTGCTTGTACAACAATAAACTGTAATTACTGAACACTGTCTGTCTTTTCCACCTAACTTTCCGTCAGGACAGATGGGCCACCTAACTTTCCGTCAGGACAGATGGGCCACCTAACTTTCCGTCAGGACAGATGGACCACCTAACTTTCCGTCGACAGATGGACCACCAGTCAGGACAGATGGGACCACCTAACTTTCTGTCAGGACAGTTGGGCCACCTAACTTTCCGTCAGGACAGATGGGCCACCTAACTTTCCGTCAGGACAGATGGACCACCTAACTTTCCGTCATCACAGATGGACCACCTAACTTTCCATCAGGACAGATGGACCACCTAACTTTCCGTCAGGACAGATGGGCCACCTAACTTTCCGTCAGGACAGATGGACCACCTAACTTTCCGTCAGGACAGATGGGCCACCTAACTTTCCGTCAGGACAGTTGGGCCACCTAACTTTCCGTCAGGACAGATGGGCCACCTAACTTTCCATCAGGACAGATGGACCACCTAACTTTCCGTCAGGACAGATGGACCACCTAACTTTCCGTCAGGACAGATGGGCCACCTAACTTTCCGTCAGGACAGATGGGCCACCTAACTTTCCGTCAGGACAGATGGGCCACCTAACTTTCCGTCAGGACAGATAGGCCACCTAACCTTCCCTCAGGACAGATGGACCACCTAACTTTCCGTCAGGACAGATAGGAGACTGATATAGAAACCAGCATCACTGCATGATGGGAGCTTGAAATGGAGAAAAACCTGGAGCTAAGCGGCTGAAATATCTCAATGCCGACAACAGAAACACAGAACAGCAGCTTGCCAGGAGGAGCCCAATGGTGTTCTACGGGCTGAATATATCGGCTATGAGAATTACTCTATAAAAGGTGAAAATGAGTGGCAAGTGAATTTCCAGCTAAAATCGAGTGTTTCCCAATTATTCAAGAAAACTAATATCAAAAATACATAACTGCAAAATCATTTAACTTTCAAAAACAAATCAATGGAGGAAATCAATAGAATAGTAACAGTCATGGGCTGGGCAGTAACCAGTGTGTTCGACGGGCAGAATATAGCGGCCACAAGAATACAGCATAAGAGGTGACAGCACCTCTGCATCACAGCCCAGTAAGCAACAATTGTGCACTTCCGTTTGATTTAGAAAACGAGAGCGGTCAGAACACTGAAATTATTGCCAAATTTCCAGCCGGCAGTCTCCATGATCGCTGCAGACAGCAAACAATGAACAGTGTCGCTCGAGTAGTACAGTGCCAAGAGGCCAATTTGAACAAGCCGTGTTCAAGCAGAAAGCCAAAATCTGTTATTGTGGTCCTAAGTGTGTCCACTGCTTGAGGATTTGGCCGGGTCAGCATCCAGGGTGTGTATGAGTGACGAATGACAGAAAGCAGATAGAACAGTCAACACTACAGTAGCGCGAAGCTACACTGCAATGAAAGCAGTGTTATAAAAGAATCCAAATCTATGGTTATCCGTTGGGCTGTAGGGGTCCTGGTGCAAGATAACGCAGCTACAAGGGCAATAAATAAGACATCTTCAGGGGTTTCTTGATTGGTACTAACATGAAGCACCACTGTGTTCCTGATTGATACAGACATCAATCATCTTTAGTTACCAGATCAGCACAGCCATCAATCAACATTTGTCTGGTGACAAAAATCCACACATTGGGTCTCTATATCATACTGAAACATCATCAGTGCTCAGAATCACACAACAGATATTATAAACAGAAACCTGAGGTACAAACAAGATTGAGAAAATCCAATCATTCACAAAACAGATAATATAAACAGAAACCTGAGGTAAAAACAAGACTGAGAACATCCAATCATTCACACAACAGATAATATAAACAGAAACCTGAGGTACAAACAAGATTGAGAAAATCCAAACATTCACAAAACAGATAATATAAACAGAAACCTGAGGTACAAACAAGACTGAGAAAATCCAATCATTCACAAAACAGATAATATAAACAGAAACCTGAGGTACAAACAAGACTGAGAACATCCAATCATTCACACAACAGATAATATAAACAAACCTGAGGGACGAGGTAGGGTAAGACCACTCGACTTTTGACTGCCATAACTTGTTTCAAGCCGTCCAGAGCTCGCTCAGACATCTCAGGGTCATTCTGTGAACAGTTCAATTTTTCATTTTTTTTTAATATACACTTCTCAAATTCATCTAATCTATGGACATCTGCATAAATAATCTACTATAGATATTTGTGTAAACATGCTACCACAGACATTTGTGTAACTATGTAACCATAGGCTTTTGTGTAAATATGTAACTACAGTCATTTGTGTATGTGACCAAGGACATTTGTGTAAATATATAACCATAGACATTTGTGTAAATATGTAAAAAGGGGACATTTGTGTAAATATGTAATAGTGGTCATTTGTTTAAGCATGTGACCACGGACATTTGTGTAAGTATGTAACCACATACATTTGTGTAAATATGTGACCACAGACATTTGTGTAAATATGTAACCATGGTCATTTATGTATGTGACCACAGACATTTGTGTAAATATGTAATCATGGTCATTTGTGTATGTGACCACAGACATTTGTGTAAATATGTAATCATGGTCATTTGTGTATGTGACCACAGACATTTGTTTAAATATGTAATCATGGTCATTTGTGTATGTGACCACAGACATTTGTGTAAATATGTAATCATGGTCATTTGTGTATGTGACCACAGACATTTGTGTAAATATGTAATCATGGTCATTTGTGTATGTGACCACAGACATTTGTGTAAATATGTAATCATGGTCATTTGTGTATGTGACCACAGACATTTGTGTAAATATGTAATCATGGTCATTTGTGAATGTGACCACAGACATTTGTATAAGTATGTAATCAAGTACAGCCATGAGCGTCAGTGTAAGTATGTAATCAAGTACAGCCATGGGCGTCAGTGTAAGTATGTAATCAAGTACAGCCATGGGCGTCAGTGTAAGTATGTAATCAAGTACAGCCATGGGCGTCAGTGTAAGTATGTAATCAAGTACAGCCATGGGCGTCAGTGTAAGTATGTGATCAAGTACGGCCATGGGCGTCAGTGTAAGTATGTAATCAAGTACAGCCATGGGCGTCAGTGTAAGTATGTAATCAAGTACAGCCATGGGCGTCAGTGTAAGTATGTAATCAAGGACAGCCATGGGCATCAGTGTAAGTATGTAATCAAGTACAGCCATGGGCGTCAGTGTAAGTATGTAATCAAGTACAGCCATGGGCGTCAGTGTAAGTATGTAATCAAGTACAGCCATGGGCGTCAGTGTAAGTATGTAATCAAGGACAGCCATGGGCGTCAGTGTAAGTATGTAATCAAGGACAGCCATGGGCGTCAGTGTAAGTATGAAACCACACAAACATTGAGACATAAAATTAACCCATTAGATGTTTTATATACCAACACTGTTGTTAGTTAACTCACCAGGTGTGTGTGTGTGTGTGTACAATTTATCAGGCGTTTGGTGTGGGGGAACTCACCAGGTGTGTGTGTGTGTGTGTGTGTGTACAATTTATCAGGCGTTTGGTGTGGGGGAACTCACCAGGTGTGTGTGTGTGTGTGTGTACAATTTATCAGGCGTTTGGTGTGGGGGAACTCACCAGGTGTGTGTGTGTGTACAATTTATCAGGCGTTTGGTGTGGGGGAACTCACCAGGTGTGTGTGTGTGTACAATTTATCAGGCGTTTGGTATGGGGGAACTCACCAAGTGTGTGTGTGTGTACAATTCATCAGGCGTTTGGTATGGGGGAACTCACCAGGTGTGTGTGTGTGTGTGTGTGTGTGTGTGTGTGTGTGGGGGGGGGATACTTCCAGGTGTGGTGTGTGTGGGGGGATACTTACCAGGTGTTTGAGTAAGGTGGGTAAGATCTCATCCAATGCCCGCTGGCCAATATTGTGGTGAAGATTGTCAAATGTGTGGGCGGCGGCCGCTCGAACATCAGACAGGGGGTCAATCAGTCCTCGCCGAACTGTTGGGATCAGGCTATCAGCAAACACGGACACCTGGACAGACAATTACATTTACAGCCCCAGTAAGTGCAGGAGTGAAATATACAATATCAATTAAACTTGTCTACAAGAGTAAGACGGATACATACAGTATTAACTAGAATCTGTACAAGTGTAGGAGTTGTGAACACACAACCTTAATTAGATATCTCTACAAGTGTAAAAGTGGAATAAAAAACATTCATTAAATATCTTTACAAGTGTAGGAGTGGAACATACAACATTAACTGAATATCTCTACAATTGTAGGACTGATCATGCAACATTAACTAGAATCTCTACAAGTGTAGTAGTAGTACATAAAACATTAATTAAATATCTCTACAAGTGTAGAAATGAAATATACAACATTAATTAAATATCTCTACAACAGGACTGAAACACAGCTTGGCCTGTGTCGAACACATATCATCTCTACAAACATAGCAGTGGAACAAAGTGACGACTGCTGCTGTGATGACAGTGCTGTGATATTTGTGTTATATAGATGTATTTTAAAATATTTTTAAAAGAACAAATGTCAAAAAAAATAATTAAAGTAGAATTATTTAAATAAGGTAAAAAAACTATTATTGTTAAACAAAAATCAACCTACTAGAAAAATGTTTAAATGACAATGTTCCATAAAGTGTAATTTTGTTTAATGTGGGGGGGGGGGGGGGGGGGGGGGGGGGGGGGGGGGGGAGAAGGATGTCATGACCGTGCTGTTCATGGTGGCCCATGCAGGAGGTCACAGCAAGGTGAGGGACTCAAGGTCACAAACCTGGAAGAAAAGATGAAGAGATGACAGGACACCCAGGGCTGGAGAGACTGGCGAGAAAAGGCATGAGGCTGGCTCAAGGTGACAGCAAGCTGGACAGAAAACCCGTGTAAGAGATGACGGGACACCCGGGGCTGGAGAGACTAGCGAAAAAAGGCATGAGGCTGGCTCAAGGTGACAGCAAGCTGGACAGAAAACCCGTGTAAGAGATGACGGGACACCCGGGGCTGGAGAGACTAGCGAGAAAAGGCATGAGGTTGGCTCATGGTCACAGCGGGACAGAAAACCCGTTCAAGAGATGACGGGACACCCAGGGTTGGAGAGACGAGTGAGAAAAGGCATGAGGTTGGCTCATGGTCACAGCGGGACAGAAAACCCGTGCAAGAGATGACGGGACACCCGGGGTTGGAGAGACGAGTGAGAAAAGGCATGAGGTTGGCTCATGGTCACAGCGGGACAGAAAACCTGTGCAAGAGATGACGGGACACCCGGGGCTGGAGAGACTAGCGAGAAAAGGCATGAGGTTGGCTCAAGGTCACAGCTGGACAGAAAACCCGTGTAAGAGATGACGAGACACCCGGGGCTGGAAAGACGAGCGAGAAAGGACGAGGTTGGCTCAAGCTGGCAGAAGTTATGAAGGACATTAGCCTGTGTTTTCCTGAAGAATTGTATCTTATCTATTTCTGTATAGTAGTTTTGTTTGGACAAGTTAAGAAGCATGATGCCAACCAAGAATGTTGAACCCTAGAGGAGCTGATGCTGCGTGAGCCGATGGTAAGTGGTGTCCATAACCACAGAGCTGGGACGAGCATTAGAGAAAGTTCCAAAACTGAAGCTGCGAGAGGACACACATCATCTCTACAAACACAGCAGTGGAATAGAGTGAGGACTGAGAGAGGACAGACAATAACATAACACTCACATGGTCCTTGCTGGTGGAGGCCATGATCTCCGAGAGTCCAATACAAACTCCTTGCCTCTGGTCAGCATCCTCTGAGTCCAGACCACTCTCCAGGATGGGGATGATCTCTGGCAGGACCCTCTCTCCCAGTTTCCTCACCAGATCACCCAGAGTACGTGCGGCCACCTGCAGGCAGTACAAGCATAGTTCTGTGAGCCACTGTTCACTGAAGGAGCCAATATATTGTCAGCCTCTCTCGTCGTTTTTTGCGTTCACCGGCTATAAACTCTGGTGCAAAGACCTAGTTGTTCGTCCATTTCTGGACTTTTGCTTTGTTCCAGGACCTGAGTTTTGCATGTGCATCCATTTTACAGATCTGACTTATTTGTATGCAGACTGCTGGTTCCTTGCCTCTCAGGCAGATGCATTCAGACTTCAAAGGAAGCCCCCAGTTAGTCAACTCTTACGACATGCTTCTTGGGGGAGGCAGTGAGTCTATTCTTGTTTCCCCCACAATGGGCCCCGCAACCCACACGGGGGTCTCTCAATTATCTCCCACACTCAAACACAGATCTGTTGGTGCATTCACTACTGTATAGATTACTGCATGTCAATAAATAAACTACTACTTCTTCTGTCGTCTCACACTGATACCAGGTTATAGCCCAGTTTCATGGTTTTATGTATTAGTCTTGCACTTCTCAGGTGGTTCATCTTATTGCAGGTTGCAACTACACTATTTATCCATATCTTCCTTGGGTCTTCCCTTTGCATCCAGATGTTCTGCTGTTAAAATCTCACATGCACATTCAGTTTGGCTGCATTCTCACTAGATGGCCAAACCATTTCACTCTTTCTCTGGCAATATAATTTAGACACGGTTTTAATCCAGCTTTGTCTCCAATTCATAACCTTGGCCACTGTGTTGTTAGTGACCTTACAGAGGTAACGCATTTCTCTGGCAGTTTTTTTTTTGTGTGGTTCTAGTGCCCTTTTCATTGTCCACGTTTGGCACTGATAGCATAAAGTAGTGATGAAAATGCCAATAATGATTTGCTTTTATGCTGGAAGGGAGACATTTGCAGAACTAAGCAGGTTAAAATTTCAAAAAAAAAAAAAAAAAAAAAGCATGTCACTTAACAAACTGTGTGAAAACACATACTTAACAAAGTGTGTGAGAACACATACTTAACAAACCGTGTGAGAACACATGAGCAGGTAGCTCCTTCTGCTGATCAAATGCCACCCTGCCAGAAGTATTTCTTTAGCATTAAAACCACTTCTTAAATTGTCACCGCCGGCACCAATATCACTAACAACTCACTGTTATCTTGTCACGGCTGGCACTATTATCACTAACAATTCACTGTTCTCTTGTTTTGCTGGCACTAACAACTCACCGTTCTCTTGTCACGGCTGGCACTATTATCACTAACAATTCACTGTTCTCTTGTTTTGCTGGCACTAATGTCACTAACAACTCACCGTTCTCTTATCACGGCTGGCACTATTATCACTAACAATTCACTGTTCTCTTGTTTTGCTGGCACTAATGACACTAACAACTCACCGTTCTCTTGTCATGGCTGGCACTATTATAACTAACAACTCACCGCTCTCTTGCCATGGCTGGCACTATTATAACTAACTCACTGTTCTCTTGCCACGGCTGGTACTATTATAACTAACAACTCACCGTCCTCTTGCCACGGCTGGCACTATTATAACTAACAACTCACTGTTCTCTTGTCATGGCTGGTACTATTATAACTAACAACTCACCGTTCTCTTGTCATGGCTGGTACTATTATAACTAACAACTCTCTGTTCTCTTGTCATGGCTGGTACTATAACTAACAACTCACCGTTCTCTTGTCATGGCTGGTACTATAACTAACAACTCACCGTTCTCTTGTCATGGCTGGTACTATAACTAACAACTCACCGTTCTCTTGTCATGGCTGGTACTATTATAACTAACAACTCACCGTTCTCTTGTCATGGCTGGTACTAGCTAGACATCCGAGCAACAGAGTAAACAGAGTTGGAAGAATCTCTCGTAGCGTGCGTGGTGTATTTGACACGATGATCTTCCACACATGCAGGGCATTTTGTCGTACCATCAAGGCAATGTCAGAGCGACCCATGTACAAGCCAGATAATACGCGGTTGCGGCGCTCTTTACCCAGCGAGCGAAGTATTGCCTGCAATAAAAGAAACAAGAGTTCATTACATAAAATGTATGACAGTGATGAGGTAAGGAGACTATGACAGTGATGAGGTTAAAATGATCTATGACAGAGATGAGGTTAAAGAGGTATATGACATAGATGAGGTTAAGGAGATCTATGGGTGATGAGGATAAGGAGATCTATGATAGAGATGAGGTTAAGGAGATCTATGATAGAGATGAGGATAAGGAGATCTATGATAGAGATGAGGATAAGGAGATCTATTCTTCTTCTTCTTTCGTTCGCCTGAAATAAGTTATCTATATCAGCAGTTTTGTCTCTTGTATAAATTTCACTGCCGTTGTTAGTTCATTCAGTGGTCCATAGAGTTTACGTTCCACTGTTGTTCCTTTTGGCCAAAAGGTTTGCCTTAATGTGTCAAATTCGGTGCAGTCCTGGAGTACATGCTCTGCGGTCTGGGGCACATTTCCACAGGTGCACATGGCTGATACACCTATCTTGAATTTTGTGAACATGTGGTTACGTAATCGGTTGTGCCCTGTTCTGAGGCGGAAGATAATGACTTGTCTGGTCTGTCCATAATAAAATAGTCGTCTTGTTTGTGCTGGGGCTGGTGGTTTCCTGATCGATTTAATGATTCTTTCTTTTGGTGGTATGTGACTGGTACATCTGGCTGCTCTTTTTTCGCACCTTCCCCTGCCAGTTGATCAGCTTTCTCATTTCCAGGCACTCCACAATGAGACGGTATCCACTGCATTACGACTCTTCGCTGAACGCTGAGTTGTGTTAGCAGTGTTTGCAATTCTGGTAGTTTCCTAGACTGGAGTGCTTCAAGTACTGATTTAGCATCTGTAAGCATTACCACATACTGTGAGCCAAGGTTGGTATTTAGCAGTTTCTCTGTAGCTATCTTAATAGCCTGGGTTTCTGCATCGTAGTTATGGCAGTACTTCCCGGTTGGTACGCTGGACTTATCCCTAGTACCATCTGGGAATTCTCCAGCACCACCATTTCTAACTGCACTTTCTGCGGACCCATCTGTATAGACTCTGACCCATTGTTCTTGTGGGTATTCTTCATCAATATAACTGAGGGTGGCCATTTTGCGTTGTACACTATCTTGCTCTTTCTTGTCAAATATCCCTTTCACATTTGTCTGGATTTGTACCGTTAGTTTACATTTTTCTCTCCATGGGGTTTGTTCCGGAATACTTTTTAGTGGGCAGCCAATTTCTGGAAGGTCAGGAATTTGTCTACATATTCTTTTTGCTTGGTGTATAAAGCTGCTTCTTTTTAACCGTCCCAAGGCTAGGTTCTTAAATCTATTTTCCATCGGGTGATCTGGCATACTGAGGAACTTTTCAGCTTGTATTTGCAACTTTGTATCTCTGCGTTCTCTCAGTGCCTGTGTTTTCCCAGCTTTCTCCATTTCTAATATGGGGGTTGATTTCATCCCTCCTGTGATAGGAGATCTATGATAGAGATGAGGATAAGGAGATCTATGATAGAGATGAGGATAAGGAGATCTATGATAGAGATGAGGATAAGGAGATCTATGATAGAGATGAGGTTAAGGAGATCTATGATAGAGATGAGGATAAGGAGATCTATGATAGAGATGAGGTTAAGGAGATCTATAAGAGAGATCTATGACATGGATGAGGTAAGGAGATCTATGACTAGATGCGGTTAAGGAGATGTTTGACAGAGATAAGGTAAGGAGATCTATGACAGTAACAAGGTCATGTCATGAACAAACTAATTCTTATTAGAAAGAGCCTAGAAACTTAAATACTGGCAGCAAAAATCAATCCATCTCTTCAAGCTAAGTGACAGCAAGAATATTTGGTCTTCAAGCCATATCTAAAGATCTGAACACTTACTTTACTTACTTTACTTTTTCCTTCCACGTATGCCGCTAAGCGTTGTGGGGAGATGCAAGTTCCTGTCATAAGCAAGGCGGGCAGCATCTGATGTTCTGAGGCCATGCTTTTGGCAGGTTTCAGAGACCCCGTCAATCCACAATTTCCTTGGTCTTCCTCTTGCCTTATATCCTGAGCTTCTTTGGTTGAAAATTTGTGATGTTATTTGATCATTTTTCATCCTGGTTAGATGTCCAAACCATTTCATTCTTTGATGTTCTATGTAGTCTAAACATGGTGTAGTTTTGACAGTGTTTCTAATGTCTATATTCTTTATCCTGTCTAGTCTGGTCTTATTCGCTGCTTTTCTTAGACATTTCATTTCACAGACTTCTATTTTTCTTTCATGGGTCTTGTTGATTGTCCATGTCTGGCACTGGTAGCAGAGTGTTGGAATGAAGATGGTGTTTATCAATTGTCTTTTGGTCTTCATGGTTATATCTGGATGTTTAAGCAGAGGTGATAGTTGGTATGTGACAGCATTTTGCTTTCTGTATTCTTGTTTCTATCTCTCTGTCCATTCTTCCATCCTCTGTAAATATACTGCCCAAGTATTTGAACTCTTTGGTTTGCTTGATTTTGGCACTTCCAACATTTATATTCAGTGGCCTGTGTGTTCTGCTGATCTTCATAACTTCTGTTTTTTCTGTACTGATTCTCATATTATGTTGTAAACAGCTGTTGTTGAGAGTAGTCAGATGTTCCTGTAGATCATATTCATTTTGATACAGTATGCTTTGATCATCAGCAAAAAGTAATTCGTTTATAGCATACACGTCTGGGTTTGCTTCTACAGTGATCTTATCCATGTATGTTATGAAAAGTAATGGTGACAGTACACATCCTTGCCTGACACCAGTTGTGACTTTGAACCATTCAGAAAGACACTAGATGTTCTTACTGCACTTTCACGTTTTTCATCGAGGCTCTGATGTTGTCTAATAATTGACCCTGCACTCCGTAATCGTCAAGAATTCTCCACAGCACATCTCTGTCTACACGGTCGAATGCCTTCTCTTGATCTACAAAGACCACGTTCAGCTCTTTATCGTATTCGAGTGTCTTTTCACAGACTTGTCTTAGTGCAAATATGGCATCAGTGCAACCTCGCCCTTTCCTGAAACCGAATTGTGCTTTACTCAGTAGAGGTTCAACCTTTGCTCTTATCCTACCTTCTAAGATCTTTGCATACATTTTCCCCACATGACTTAGTAAAAGATATTCCTCTATAAGTTCCACATTCTCTCTTGTTTCCTTTTTCTCCAGATAGGTACTACAACTGATCTTTGCCAATCCACTGGTACCTTTCTCTCTGCCCCATGCTCTATTGAAAATTCTCTCCAGCCAGGTGATCATAGTGTCCCCTCCAGCCTGGATGACTTCTGTTGTTATTCCGGTCGATACCAGCTGCTTTGTGTCTTTTACTTGTTTTGATAACTTTCTCTACTTCATCCCGCAGGATATGTGGTTCTAGATGATCTGGAGCCCTTGAATGGAATTCTGCTGTTTCATGTACTCAATAAGTTTCTTTAAAATAGGCTTTTTCCTTCCATCTTTTTTTAATTTCTTATGACAGAATAAGATCCATAAGATCTTGATGTTGGACAGATAAGATCCTTACAAAGGAAGATCTTATATGACAGATAAGATCCATGACAAAGAGAAGATCTTATATGACAGATAAGATCCATGACAAAGAGAAGATCTTATATGACAGATAAGATCCATGACAAAGAGAAGATCTTATATGACAGTAATGAGGTAAGGAGATCTATGACAGATAAGATCCATGACAAAGAGAAGATCTTATGTGACAGTAATGAGGTAATGAGATCTATGACAGATAAGATCCATGACAAAGAGAAGATCTTATGTGACAGTAATGAGGTAAGGAGATCTATGACAGATAAGATCCATGACAAAGAGAAGATCTTTAAATGAGGTAAGGAGATCTATGACAGATAAGATCCATGACAAAGAGAAGATCTTATGTGACAGTAATGAGATCTATGACAGATAAGATCCATGACAAAGAGAAGATCTTATGTGACAGTAATGAGGTAAGGAGATCTATGACAGATAAGATCCATGACAAAGAGAAGATCTTATATGACAGATAAGATCCATGACAAAGAGAAGATCTTATGTGACAGTAATGAGGTAAGGAGATCTATGACAGATAAGATCCATGACAAAGAGAAGATCTTATGTGACAGTAATGAGGTAAGAGATCTATGACAGATAAGATCCATGACAAAGAGAAGATCTTATGTGACAGTAATGAGGTAAGGAGATCTATGTCAGATGAGATCTATGACAAAGATTAGGTAATGAAATTTGTGATACAGATGAAATCTATGATAGAGATTAGATCTATGACAGAGATAAGATAAAGAGAATCTATGACAAAGATACAAAGGAAACACGATGACATACCTGTTGGGAGGATTCGGTGCCAAAGTTGTCATCCTCATTAGCAGTTTCTGTTGTCATCTTACCAGATACACCTGGACACAAAGCATATCATTAACCATAAAACAACAGCCAGAATATGTCCACACAAGACTATCCATGCAACACAATTCATAAAACAACCATATAAAAATAGCCAGAATATGTCACACAACACTTTCCATGAAACAAGAATAAATCTGTACATAGAATAAAGGGCAATTTTCACCAACTGAGACAACTGAATATTCGGCAAGATTTGTATTTAAAATTTTTTGTTTTTGTTTTTTAATAGATCAGTCAGATGGTTGATATACCTTTGTGGTTATAAGACAAACTGCTGTAACAGGCAAAACTGTTGTGACAGACAATACTAAAGAGACACGCTGTGTTCCCTAGACAAGAGCAGTTACCTGAGACTTTGTAGAGCAGGTCTCCCAGCAACTGTACCGAGCTGTTTCTGATCCTCCAGTTGTCATCAAACAGTCCCCGCTCCAGCTCTGGTAGCAGCAGCTCCACCGCTGTCTCAGCGTACTGGTTGATGATTCGCTTGCCAGCACGAAGGGCCGTGTCACGAACAAACTCATTCTCATCCGAAAGAGCCTGGAATTTTAAATGCAGACAGTAAAAATCTACCTATCTCTTCAAGCTAAGTAACAGCAAGAAAATTGGGTCTTCAAGCTATATCTAAAGATCTGAACATTAACAGCAAGAATTATGTGCATTCAAACTATATCTAAAGATCTGAACAATAACAGCAAGAATTATGTGCATTCAAACTATATCTAAAGATCTGAACATTAACGGCAAGAATTATGTGCATTCAAACTATATCTAAAGATCTGAACATTAACGGCAAGAATTATGTGCATTCAAACTATATCTAAAGATCTGAACAATAACAGCAAGAATTATGTGCATTCAAACTATATCTAAAGATCTGAACAATAACAGCAAGAATTATGTGCATTCAAACTATATCTAAAGATCTGAACAATAACAGCAAGAATTATGTGCATTCAAACTATATCTAAAGATCTGAACAATAACAGCAAGAATTATGTGCATTCAAACTATATCTAAAGATCTGAACAATAACAGCAAGAATTATGTGCATTCAAACTATATCTAAGATCTGAACAAGATCTGAACAATAACAGCAAGAATTATGTGCATTCAAACTATATCTAAAGATCTGAACAATAACAACAAGAATTATGTGCATTCAAACTATATCTAAAGATCTGAACAATAACAGCAAGAATTATGTGCATTCAAACTATATCTAAAGATCTGAACAATAACAGCAAGAATTATGTGCATTCAAACTATATCTAAAGATCTGAACAATAACAGCAAGAATATATGTGCCTGCAAGCTATATCTAGATATCTGAATACCAACAGTACAAATATATGTCATTTCAAGCTAAATCTAGAGATCTGAACACTGACAGTAAGAATCTACGTGACTGCAAGCTGTTTCTGAAGATCTGAATTTATATTGTAAGAACATGAGTGTCTTTAAGCTAACTACAGATAAATTAACATATATATAATGTATAAAATATTTTTCTTCATTAGAAATCTCTTTATAATGTCGTGAAACATTTCTGATACCCAGCGAGGAAAACAAGAGGTAAAGAAGAAAAAGAAGGCGACAAGAAGGAGGGATGAAAGAAATGGGAGACTGCAGTGTTTAGGAAGAATGAATAGAGAGATGATCAGAAAGTCAGAAAGACAAACACAGTAGAAAAGTAAGAAGAAGAAGAAGAAGAAGAAGAGAGAAAATAGCGTGAAAGAACCACTCACCTGCAGTATGGAAGGAAGAATGGGGCCCACATACTGAACAAAGGTGGGCCCAAAAACTGAGGGTAAATAAATGTAGGTCATGATGTAGCCATCCCGGACATGAGGCATCAGGTCAGTCCTCTCGGCCGTCTGGATGATGTCTCCCATGAGCTTCTTCAGCTTCTCCTCTCCCATTCCTCCAATGACTTCACTGAGACCTGCAAGGACACAGGCCTCATCAGCTACATCCGGACATGTAAATCACAGCTACATCCGGACATGTAAATCACAGCTAGCAGACAGCAGAGAGAGGGAGGCAGTGGATGGGGGAAAGGGCACACAACTGACTGACAATTGAACACAGCTGGCAAAAATGAATGAGGACACAGGCCTCATCAGCTACATCCGGACATGTAAATCCCAGCTAGCAGACAGCAGAGAGAGGGAGGAAGTGGATGGGGGAAAGGGCACACAACTGACTGACAATTGAACACAGCTGGCAAAAATGAATGAGGACACAGGCCTCATCAGCTACATCCGGACATGTAAATCACAGCTAGCAGACAGCAGAGAGAGGGAGGAAGTGGATGGGGGAAAGGGCACACAACTGACTGACAATTGAACACAGCTGGCAAAAATGAATGAGGACACAGGCCTCATCAGCTACATCCGGACATGTAAATCACAGCTAGCAGACAGCAGAGAGAGGGAGGCAGTGGATGGGGGAAAGGGCACACAACTGACTGACAATTGAACACAGCTGGCAAAAATGAATGAGGACACAGGCCTCATCAGCTACATCCGGACATGTAAATCCCAGCAGGCAGACAGCAGAGAGAGGGAGGAAGTGGATGGGGGAAAGGGCACACAACTGACTGACAATTGAACACAGCTGGCAAAAATAAATGAGGATGCAGAAAACACACACACACATACACGCACTGAGAAAGATAAAGAGTGAGAGAGAGGGCAGAGGGGAGAGAGAGAGAAGACAGCACACAATTCACTGACAAATGAACAAAGTTTGCAAAGAAGCAGCAAAAACAGACAGAAGGAGAGATGAGAAAGACAGAGCAGATAGGGATCTGTGCACTATACCTAGACAGCTGAAACTAGCTGGGGGGAGGTGGAGAATGTGGGCGTGGGCACTATACACTGATAATTGAGCATAACTAACAGAAACAGAATGAAACAGAGAAAATGCACACAATACTGACAAGATAACACAAATGGTAAATAAAGTGGTAGAAAACAGAAACAACGTTGTAGCCAACACAGCTGACCAACAAAGCCATAGAAAACATACGAAACACTGATGCTCCTTTTATAATGCCCATATTATAGTACTGTATATTTTAATGCCCATATTACAATACTGTATATTATAATGCCGATATATTATAACAAATATGTATTTATAATACCCATATTAATAAAGCCCATATTATAATGCCCAAATTATAACATTATATTATATACATTTTATATATATTATATTTCATAATCTGTTTAAATCACCACAGATCACTGGCATTATGAGAGCTAATAGACTAAAATGGTTGGGGCATATTGAAAGAATGTCAGATGGCAGAGAAGTGAAAACTGTATACACAAGGGAGATAAATGGTCGTAGACCAGGAAGCAGACGAAGAAGAGATAATGTCCAGACAGACCTGCAAATACTTGCTGTTACCAACTGAAAAGAGAAGACCAACCAGAGAGATGAATGGAGGCAGGTGGTAGCTTTAGCAATGAACCTCAAGGGCTCAGAATGCTGAAGAAGAAGAATATTACAATGCGCTTATAATACCCATATCACAATACCTGTATTTATAACACCCATATATTTTAATGCCTATATTTTAAAACACACATTTAATAATACCCCTTATCTCTGACAGAGATATTAAAATAAGAATACAAAAGGCAACAGAAGCTTTCATAGCACTAGGGTCAAAGGAAATTAAAAGAAATACTAAACTTAAAATTTTTAATTCTAATGTCAAATCAGTACTTTTGTATGAGGCAGAAACATGGAGAACAACCAAGGCAATTACTAATATACAGACATTCCTTAACTGGTGCCTGCGCAGAATAGAGGGAATTAAATGGTATGATAGAATCACTAAAGTAGATTTTTGGGACAGAACAAAGCAAGCTCCAGTGGACCAAGAGGTGAAGAAAAGATGCTGGCGTTGGATAGGACACACATTGAGAAAACCAGAGAACAGAATAACTAGAATGTCTTTGCACTGGAACCCACAGGGGCATAGGAATAAAGGAAGGCCCCAAAACACATGGAGAAGGGGGCTGGAGAATGACGTTAGAAAGATGGGAAGGACATGGGGAGAGCTGCATGTGATAGCAAAGGATAGAATGATTTGGCACGAGTTGATTGAAGGCCTATGCTCCATTGGGGGCTAGGAAGGCAGAAGAATATTATAAATACCCATATTATGACATCCATATTAAAAGGCTCAGATAATTTATGGGTTATTAATTTATAACGTACCCCAAACACGAAATCCCCGTGGGAAAACCACAGCTGACCTGACAGTCCATTATTTCAAGGGGTGCAAGTGTGCTGTTGTGTGGTTTTTTTTTTTTTTGAGTGTTCATCTAGTGTCTTCTAATACTAACTCTAACCCAAACCCTAACCCTAAATTTGGCTGTAGAGAAATCGCGAGAAACTACAACCTGAACACCCTAGAATTTACTGGGAATGTCTGCTGTGACGTCAGGGGTAAGTTATAAATTAAGTACCAATTTATGCCCATTTTATAATATCCATATCATGATGCCAATATGATAATGCCCATGCTTCTTGAATGATAGATGTTAGTGAACTCAGAAAGATTACCCTGGGCAGCCCCGGACCTGTCGACAGAACTCTGCTCAGAGACCAACTTCTCCATGAGCCAGGGCAGCAGATCCTGGAAGATGTTCTCCCCCATGCCCCTGACCATGGCTCCCAGTGCCCGGGCTGAGACGCTGCGGACTTCTGGGACTGGGTCCAGCAAACACTGTTTGAGACCCGGGATCACAGACGGCAGGTAGGGGGCCAAGTCCTGCAATACAAACAGTTTGTGTTCATGAAATTATTCCACACTGTCTGAGATATGGAACCAAGTCCTGCAATACAAACAGTTTGTGCTCATGAAATTATTCTATACTGTTTGAGATATGGAACCAAGTCCTGTTTATCTTCATCAAATCATATGTACTGAAAGTAATGAAACAATATATACTATAGCAAAGACAGAATAATATAATATGGGTTAGGGAGACAATATGGAGAAATGACAAAAAAAGAATTATGAATCCACTTTTGCGTAGTCAATCAAGATGTTTCCCCACACAAATGAGAACAAAGGATATTGAAGATCAGGAAACCACCAGCCCCAGCACAGACAACTATTTTATTATGGACAGATCAGAACAAGTGATTATCCTCCGCTTCAGAACAAGGCACAACCGATTACGTAACCACATGTACACAAAATTCAAGATAGGCGTATCAGCCATGTGCACCTGTGGAAAGGTGCCCCAGACAGCTGAGCATCTACTCCAGGACTGCATCGAATTTGACACATTAAGGCAAACCTTTTGGCCAGAAAGAACAACAGTAGAACGTAAACTCTATGGACCACTGAATGAAGTAACAACGACTGAAATTTATACAAGAGACAAAACTGATGATATAGTCAACTTATTTCAGGCGAACGAAAGAAGATGGAAAAGGGGGGGGGGGAGGAGAGAGAGAGAGAGAGAGAGAGAGAGAGAGAGAGAGAGAGAGAGAGAGAGAGAGAGAGAGAGAGAGAGAGAGAGAGAGAGAGAGAGAGAGAGAGAGAGAGAGAGAGAGAGAGAGAGAGAGAGAGAGAGAGAGAGAGAGAGAGAGAGAGAGAGAGAGAGAGAGAGAGAGAGAGAGAGAGAGAGAGAGAGAGAGAGAGAGAGAGAGAGAGAATGTGGAAAATACAGATGCTAATAGAGAAACTAGGAAGCCAGAAGGGACTCACCTTTTGGTCTGTAAGTGAGTACATGTTGCCCATGATCTGAGCGGCCATCTTGCGGGTGTCGGTGGTTCGATCCTGGAATGCCCGTTGGATGACGGGCATGATCAGGGCCAGAGATGGGGCATCCACCACGTGGACAAACTTGGTCTGCAGCAGCTTCTCCAGGCAGACTGTGGTCTTCCTGGTGGGGTCCTGCAGGGCCTCCAGCAGGTTCATGACAATGGCTGCCAGAACAACGGAGAAGAGAAAACAGTGTAACAATTGGAGGAAAACATTACAGTTACTCGGCACTGTCACACTAGTCTGGGTGATAGGCATGTCACTAGTTCTAATGAGTATGTTTGTTGCTGAGACTGTCACAGTTACACCCAGCAAGATGAGTATGTCTTATGCTAGTTAGACTCAATACAAAGTGTCTATTGCAGTAGTGCTGACAAAAGATGCCTTATACCCTTAAAAAGGTGCTGGTACTGCCTTGGAGAATGTGACTGCAGCAAAGAAGCACGTGTTTTATACAGAAAAAGACCTGTTATAAGGGACAAAACCCAGTGCAATCGTCTGATGTTAAATCAATTTAAACCACTATATCGACCATTTTCTGTATCCTCTGACTAGTTATCTTCATAGTTACATCGTCATTACATTCAGTATGGGTTCGTGTGGGTTTCAGGGTCCTATTATAGTGAAAACAAGAATAGACCCACTGCCTACCCAAAAGCATGGTGTAAGAGTCGACTAATTGGGAGCTTCCTTCAAAGTCGGAGTGCATCTGCTTGAGAGGCAATTAACCAACTGTCTGCATACAAATGTGTCAGATCTGTAAAACGGATGCACACGCAACACTCAGGTTCTGGAAAAGGACTGTAGTCCAGAAGTGGACGAACAACCAGAACTTTCCGCCGCAGTTTACAGCCGGTGAACGCGAAAAGAAGAAGAAGAATATGCAAAGTTTGACTGGAATGAAAAATGCTCTTGAAAAAACATTCCAAAGTTAATAATCCTTTCATGGCAAAAAGGAGTAGAAACCAATCTGTTGGAATTTGTCAGAAATTGGAGGCAGACGGATTTTCTGTGTTTGTGGAAATGTTATAGTTTGAAGCGCATCAATTATCAGACATCACAGGAATTCTTCAAAGTGAATTTAAAGCCAGTTACGAATGGGCAAGGTGTGTTTTAGAACAAAATTACCTTCTGATTCGGCAGAAGACAACAATGGTGCAGCGACTTCCCAACATCTACCGGACTGCTTATTTATAAATTCTGTGCACATGACAAGTAACCCTAATATGTTTAATATAAGCTGACTCAAATGTTATTCCAAAAATTTTTGTTTAAAATACACACATAAATACGATACTACCTGGCGCAGTTACAAAACAGAACAAGCAATATGAGAAACAGACAGACAATTCTGACGCTGAAAACTTCAGAAGCAGACGAACTGTTGTTCAATAAAAAAGTGTTACCCTGAATTTCTGGATTTCTGATGACAGATCCGATCTGCATCAAAGCCTGTGAGCCCGCCTTCTGCACCTTCATGTGGGAATCAGTCAGGACTTCAGTCAGCTTGGGCACGATGCTAGGCAGACAGGCCGACAACTGTTTGGGGGCACAAAAAGCCATGGCTCCCAGCAGCTCTACCGAGCCTGTGATAGAAACAGCATGTTTTAGAACCTGTGTCAGGGACAGACAGCATGTTTTAGAGTCTGTGTTAAAGACAGCATGTTTTAGAGTCTGTGTTAAAGACAGACAGCATGTTTTAGAACCTGTGTCAGAGACAGACAGCATGTTTTAGAACCTGTGTCAAAGACAGACAGCTTGTTTTAGAGCCTGTGTCAGAGACAGACAGCATGTTTTAGAGCCTGTGTCAGAGACAGACAGCATGTTTTAGAGCCTGTGTCAGAGACAGTATATTTTAGAGCCTGTGTCAGACAGACAGCATGTTTTAGAGCCTGTATCATAGACAGACAGCATGTTTTACAGCCTGTATCAGAGACAGACAGCCTGTTTTAGAGCCTGTGTCAGAGACAGATAGAATGTTTTAGAGCCTGTTTCAGAGACAGACAGCATGTTTTAGAGCCTGTATCAGAGACAGACAGCATGTTTTAGAGCCTGTGTCAGAGACAGACACAATGTTTTAGAGCCTGTACCATAGACAGACAGCATGTTTTAGAGCCTGTATCATAGACAGACAGCATGTTTTAGAACCTGTGTCAGAGACAGACAGCTTGTTTTAGAGCCTGTATCAGAGACAGCATATTTTAGAGCCTGTGTCAGAGACAGACACCATGTTTTAGAGCCTGTACCATAGACAGACAGCATGTTTTAGAGCCTGTATCACAGACAGCATGTTTTACAGCCTGTATCAGAGACAGACAGCCTGTGTTAGAGACAGATAGAATGTTTTAGAGCCTGTATCAGAGACAGACAGCATGTTTTAAAGCCTGTATCAGAGACAGACAGCATGTTTTAGAGCCTGTGTCAGAGACAGAGCATGTTTTAGAGCCTGTATTTAGAGCCTGTACCATAGACAGACAGCATGTTTTAGAGCCTGTATCATAGACAGACAGCATGTTTTAGAGCCTGTGTCAGAGACAGACAGCATGTTTTAGAGCCTGTGTCAGAGACAGACACCATGTTTTAGAGCCTGTACCATAGACAGACAGCATGTTTTAGAGCCTGTGTTAGAGACATCATGTACTTGGGGTCTGTATTTGCAACTAAGGTCTATGACTTAATACATTTGATGGTACAGGAGATTAGCATATTAGCCAGGTAGTTACCACATTAGCCAGGTGCTAGCACATTAGCTAGGTAGTAGCACATTAGCCAGGTGCTAGCACATTAGCTAGGTGGTTAGCACATTAGCCAGGTGCTAGCACATTGCCTAAGTAGTTAGCATATTAGCCAGGTGGTCAGCACATTAGTCAGGCAGTTTGCACACTAGCCAGTGGTTAGCACACCTGCCTGCTAGGCAGTGTACAGGAGGCACATTAGCCAGGTGCTGGCACATCAGAGAGGTGGATAGCACATAAGCCAAGTGTAAATAAGGTTCATTAGTTAGGTGGTTAGCACATGAGCCAGATGCTAGCCCATCAGACATTAGCCAAGTGGTTAGTACACCTGCCTGCTAGAGAAGTGGCTAGCAAATTAGGCAGTTGGCAAAGTAGTCGGGCAGTAAGCACATTAGCCAAGTGGTTGGTGCATTAGCCAGGTGGTTAACACATTACCCAGTGGTTAGCACATTAGCTAGGCAGTGAGCACATTAGCCAGGTGGCTAGTACACTTGCTACATGAATCTGCTACAAGAAATGATGACAGAATAATTGATTGTATGACTGAATGTATAATGATTCTATAACTAAATGAACAATAACTGTTTGACTGACTGAACAATGACTGTCTAAATGAAGAAATAATTATCATATAACTGAATGAACAATAAATGTCTGACTGAATTAACTATGAACGCATGACAGTGTCAGCCATCTTGGCAATGCAGACAAGAGAGAATGTGCTGAGACCGACCTGCTTTTGTCCGCCAGGCATCCTCCTCTAATCCTTTCAACAACGACGGCAGCACCAGCTTGACCCCGTGGGCACTCAGGTTCCTCATCACAGACTTGGCACAGTCATCAGCGGCCTACAACATCCAGCACCACAAACAAAAGTTGACAAGCCAACAACCAAAACTGACAACTCAAAAACCAAACACTGACAACAACAATCAAACACTGACAGCTCAACAACCAAACACTGACAACTCAGAACCAAACAGTGATGATTTAACCAAACATTGACAAGAAAGAAAAAAAAAAACCTAGTCAACTCAACAACCAAACATAGACAAAAACATAGACAACTCATCTGAGATGACATGATGAACTCATGTCTGTGCAATACTGTAAGGGTGTCAATGTGCACCTGTTATTTGTGCAAGATAACTGTGTACCATGAGCTGAAACAGATATCACTGACTCCCCTCACATAGTTATAGTAACAATGAATCACCACACACAGTTATGGTAACACTGACTTGCCTCACACACCTATGATAACACTGACTCACCTCACATAGTTATAGTAACAATGAATCACCACACACAGTTATGGTAACACTGACTTGCCTCACACACCTATGATAACACTGACTCACCTCACATAGTTATAGTAACAATGAATCACTACACACAGTTATGGTAACACTGACTTGCCTCACACACCTATGATAACACTGACTCACCTCACACACAGTACAGTAACACTGACTCATAACTCACAGCCACGGTAACACTGACTCACCTGCCACACAGCAACACTGACTCACCTGCCACACAGTAACACTGACTCACCTGCCACACAGTAACACCGACTCACCACCCACACAGTAACACTGACTCACCTCCTACAGTCACACTGACTCACCTTCCACACGGTAACACTGACTCACCTCCCTCACAGTTACAGTAACACTGACTCAACTTATATATAGTCACAGTAACATTGACTTAACTTATATATAGTCACAGTAACACTGACTTAACTTATATATAGTCACAGTAACACTGACTTAACTTATATATAGTCACAGTAACACTGACTCACCTCCCTCACAGTTATAGTAACACTGACTCAACTTATATACAGTCACAGTAACACTGACTCACCACCCACACAGTAACACTAAACTCACCTCCTACAGTCACACTGACTCACCTTCCACACGGTAACACTGACTCACCTCCCTCACAGTTACAGTAACACTGACTCAACTTATATATAGTCACAGTAACACTGACTCACCTCACGGACGTACTGATTGTTGTCCCCAAAACACAGCAGCAGATGCTGGATTATGTGAACAATGTAGGGTTCAAACAGGCGTCCCAGCATGCTACACAACATCTCAAACGCCAGCAGGGCACCTGGGGAGGTACTCAAACAGCTATATCACTGGGTTCAAAATTAGCAACTGGTACAGTAGTGAACCAGACCTTCACAAAACTACAACACAATACAGTACTGAACCAGACCTTTACAAAACTACAACACAATACAGTACTGAACCAGACCTTTACAAAACTACAACTCAATACAGTACTGAGCTAGGCCTTCACAAACCTATCCCCATGGTACAGTACTGAGCTAGACCACAAAACTATCCACATGGTACAGTACTGAACCAGACCTTCACAAACCTATCCACATGGTACAGTACTGAGCTAGGCCTTCACAAAACTATCCCCATGGTACAGTACTGAGCTAGGCCTTCACAAAACTATCCCCATGGTACAGTACTGAGCTAGACCTTCACAACATTATCCACATGGTATAGTACTAAACAAGACATTCACAAAACTATCCACATGGTAGGGCACCAAAAAAGACCTTCACAAAACTATCCATATGGTAGGGCACCAAAAAAGACCTTCACAAAACTATCCATATGGTAGGGCACCAAAAAAGACCACAAGACTATCTACATGGTAGGGCACCAAAAAAGGCCTTTACAAAACTATCCACATGGTAGGGCACCAAAAAAGACCACAAGACTATCCACATGGTTCAATACTGAACCAGACCTTCACAAAACTACCACACAATACAGTACTGAGCTAGACCTTCACAAAACTATCCACACAGGGTACAGCACTAAACATGACCTTAAAAAAAAACTATATACATGATACAGTACTGAACAAGATCTTCGTAAACTATCCACATGGTAGGGCACTGAACAAGACTTTCCCAAAACTATACACATGGCACAGTACTGAGCTAGTCTTTCACAAAACTATCCACATCGTACAGTACTGAACAAGACCTTCACAAAACTATCCACATTTCGGTACTGAACTAGATCTTCACAAAATTATCATACAGTGCAGTACATAACAGTACAGAATGTGTTCACAAAACTACCACATGGTGCAATACACAAAGAGCAAGCATAGACTTTTTTCTAGAGATTTCTCAGAGTCCAGTAGATGGGACAGAAGTTTGGAGACCAGACCTGGGGCATCAGCCTTGATAGAGGGCACCAGTGGGGGCAGACAGTTGGCCACAGCTTCTTGTACCTGAAAACAGAAGTTCAAACATCAAGGCTGGTAAAAACAAGGTGGCAGCCGCCTGTATGAGAACAGATCTGAGATATGTATGAGAGAGAGTGACAGCCTCAGGTGTGAGAACAGATCTGAGATGTGGGTAAGAGACAGTGACTGCAGATCTGAGATACTGGTGATAGATAGTGACAGCAGATCTGACATATTGGTGACAGACAGTGACAGCCTCTTGTGTGAGATTAATTCACAAGGTAACAACACACATGCAGTGACTCACCTCCTGCGACGGGGTTGACAGAGCCGCAATCAGCTGAGCTACAATAGGCTTCACTTTGGGGTTGCCAGGCTCCAGATGCCTGGCCAGGTTGCCCATTAGGATGACAATACTCTGGCGAACTGGATCATAGTCTGCGGTGGCTGGTGCAGTTATCAGAAATGACTCAAACACAGAGAGCAGGGCACTGACATTCTCCTGTACAGATAAACCAAGGGAACAGAGTATAAAACAAGGGAACAGAGTATAACACAAGGGAACAGAGTATAACACAAGGGAACAGAGTTTAAGAATAAGAACAGAGGATAATAATGCAAAGGAAAAAAGCATAAGACAAGGGAAATAGAGAATATGACAAGGGAACAGAGAAAAAGGCAAGGAGAAAGATTATTTAAGACATGGGAACCGAGTTTAATACACAGGAATAGATGATATGACATAGGAACAGACAGACCTTAAGGCATGGGTACATACATGATAAGACTTGGGAAAAGTGGATAAAACATGGAAAAAGAGGGTAAGACAGGAATAAACATGATAAGACATGGAAAGGGAAAGAGGATAAGATAAGGGAATAGACATAAGACATAGACAAGCATCATAAATGGACACAGGATAATGGGAACAGAGAACATAACAGTGACAACAAAACCAATAGATGACAAGATCATCTGTGGAAAGACAACACACAGACAACACACAGAAAGACATGTGTGACAGTCAAGTCACAGAAAGAAATGTATTAAAGACAAGTCAAAGAAAGACCTGTGTGACAGACTGATGGGTTTGATAGAAATTTAGGTGACAGGCTCACAGATGACATAAGTCACAGAAAGACGTGTGTGACAGACAGATGGGTTAGTCAGAAATTTAGGTGACAGATACACAGCTGGATGACTGATAGATGATAGACACACAGATAACCAGTGGATGACAGACAGGTGGCGGGCAGACAAATGGGTGACAAGCTAACAAATGGGTGACACAGATACACAGATGACATACAGTAAAGAATGTAATGTACCTTTCCATGAGACTGGATGGCACACAATGCAGCATCCCTCATGCCAGAGCGGACCTCTGCAACACGGTCACTCAATGCCTTGGGAACAAAGAACTCAAACAGTTCTGGGATCTGAGACTCCTTTAAGAGCGGTGCTATCTGTTTCAATGCCAGTGCAATACCCGCACGTGACGGCCACATGTCCACTGGCTGTTGCTCTACCTGTCGGCCAAACTCATCCAGCTTGGCTGGGGGCAGCTGTCATGGAGCATCAAAACAGGGAATTAAAACATTGGGGGATAACATCGTCATAACAGACAACCGGAAGAGAACTGTCAATGTTGTCACATGAGTCAGTGTTGTCATAGATCACATGTCAGCCTTGTCACAGATATGCAGTGCTGTGACAGATACACAGATGTCAGTCTTTATAGATAAACAGATGACATGGTGCAACCAATTCACAGATGACAGTACTGCCACAAATGTAAATGCTGTCACATATATACAAATGATGTAAGTGCTGTCACAGATGAGAGTGCTGTCACAGATATCAGTGCAGTAACAGATGTAAGTGGGGTCACATATATCAGTGCTGTCACAGATGTCAATGCTGTCATAGATACACAGATGTTAGTCCTGTCACACATCATAGCTGCCACAGATGTCAAAGTTGTAACAGACGTCAGAGTTGTCAGATATACAGATGTCAAAGCTGTCATAAACAGAAGTCAGTCCTGTTACTTATGTCAGTCCTTTCACAGATGTCAGAGCAGTTAGAGATGTCAGTGCTGTCACAGCTGTCAGATATAAAGACATAAGTCCTGTCACAAATGTCAGTGCTGTCACAGATGTCAGTTGTGTCACAGCTACACAGATATTAGTCCTGTCACAGATGTCAGTATGGTCAGATATAAAGATGTAAGTTAAAACAGGCATTAGAGCTATCACATGTCATTGCTGTCACAAATGTCAGAGTTGTCATAGATACACAGATTTCAGTTCTGTCACAGATGTCAAAGTGGTCACAGATGCTACTGCTGTCACAGCTGTCAGATATAAATCTTTCAGTCCTGTCACAGATGCTAGTGCAGTCAAAGACACACAGATGTCAGAACTGACAATAGATAAATAGATGTCAGAGCTATCACAGATAAGCGTGCTGTCACAGATACACAGATTTCAGTTCTTTACAGATGTCAAAGCGGTTACAGATGAGTGCTGTCACAGCAGTCAGATATAAAGCTTTCAGTCCTGACACAGATATCAGTACTGTCAAAGATATAGAGATGTAAGTCCTGTCACAGATGGCAATCCTTTCACAGATATAAAGATGTCAGAGATGTCACAAATATAAATATGTCGGTGCTGTAGGAGTGACCAGAAGAGATAAAATCAGGAATGAAGTCATACGAGATAAAGTCGGTGTAAAAACCAATTCTAAATTACATTTAAAGACAGCAAATCAAATGGTTAGCCCACTTGGAGAGAATGCCTCCTGATGCTATACCATACAAGGTATAGTATATGTATGGTATGGTGAAAATGAGGATAGGGACGAAGAGCAAGAAGTAGACCAAGAACAATATGGAGAGATATCAGAGGAACTCTACAGCACCACATTGTGTCTATGGTCGAAACAGCCAGACGAGCACAAGGAAGGACCTTAACCTCCCTCGACACCCGAAGCGGTAAAAAAAAACGCGTAAAGAAGAAGTGCTGTCACAGACACAAATATGTCAGTGCTTTCACAGATATAAAGCTGTTAATTCTGTCACAGATATAAAGATATCAGAGCTGTCACAGATGTTAGTGCTGTCACAGATATAAAGATATCAGTACCATTACAGATGTAAGTACTATTACAGATGTCAGTCCTCTCACAGATATAAAGATGTCTGAGTTGTCACAGATGTTAGTGCTGTCACAGATATAAAGATGTCAGAGTTGTCACAGATGTTAGTGCTGTCACAGATATAAAGATGTTAGTGCTGTCACAGATGTAAAGATATCAGAGCTGTCACAGATGTTAGTGCTGTCACAGATATAAAGATGTAAGTTCTGTCACAGATATAAAGATATCAGTACCATTACAGATGTAAGTACTATTACAGATGTCAGTCCTCTCACAGATATAAAGATGTCAGAGTTGTCACAGATGTTAGTGCTATCACAGATATAAAGATGTTAGTGCTGTCGCAAATATAAAGATGTTGGTTTTGTAGAAGTCAATGCTGTCACAGATGTTAGTACTGTCAGAGATATAAAGATGTAGGGAACCAGCACAGCCGTCAGTCCTCCTCTCATAGATATAAAGATGTCAGTGCTGTCAGATGTTAGTGTTGTCACAGATGTCAGTGCTAGAGTACTGTCACAGATACAAAGATGTCAGTGCTGCCACAGACAGACAGACAACTCACATATAGCTTCTGCTCATACAAGTCCAGCAATGTGCTCAGTATGGCAGGAATGTGGGCCGGGTGTTTTTCCACAACCTGTGCCAGGGCTAAAGCCGCCCCGGTCCTCACCACCTCCTGGTCATGGATGGTGTCCTCCACAATAGCACTGCAGAGTTCTTCACACGGCTCCTCCAGATCTAGGTTCTTCCTCAACCTGGGCAAACATTTCAGTGTCACATTCATGAGATAACACACTCCCATCATTTGACTACCCCAAAATATATACCACAAACAATCCACCATCTATACAACTGATCATCCAACCATCTTGCCAAAAGACCATTTAACCATCTACACAACTGACCACCCCACCATCTATAAAACTGACCATCCCACCATCTTTACAACTGACCATCCCACCATCTTTACAACTGACCACCCCACCATCTTTACAACTGACAATCCCACCATCTTTACAACTGACCATCCCACCATCTTTACAACTGACCATCCCACCATCTTTACAACTGACCATCCCACCATCTTTACAACTGACCATCCCACCATCTTTACAACTGACAATCCCACCATCTTTACAACTGACAATCCCACCATCTTTACAACTGACAATTCCACCATCTTTACAACTGACAATCCCACCATCTTTACAACTGACCATCCCACCATCTTTACAACTGACAATCCCACCATCTTTACAACTGACAATCCCACCATCTTTACAACTGACAATCCCACCATCTTTACAACTGATTCCAATCTTTACAACCATCCACCATCTTTACAACTGACAATCCCACCATCTTTACAACTGACCATCCCACCATCTTTACAACTGACAATCCCACCATCTTTACAACTGACCACACCACCATCTTTACAACTGACCATCCCACCATCTTTACAACTGACCACACCACCATCTTTACAACTGACCACACCACCATCTTTACAACTGACCACACCACCATCTTTACAACTGACAATCCCACCATCTTTACAACTGACCATCCCACCATCTTTACAACTGACAATCCCACCATCCTTACAACTGACCATCCCACTATCTTTACAACTGACAATCCCACCATCTTTACAACTGACAATCCCACCATCTTTACAACTGACAATCCCACCATCTTTACAACTGACCATCCCACCATCTTTACAACTGACCATCCCACCATCTTTACAACTGACCATCCCATCATCTTTACAACTGACAATGCCACCATCTTTACAACTGACAATGCCACCATCTTTACAACTGACCATCCCACCATCTTTACAACTGACCATCCCACCATCTTTACAACTGACAATGCCACCATCTTTACAACTGACAATCCCACCATCTTTACAATTAACCATCCAACAACTGACTACCGTAAAATATATATCATAAACCACCAATAATTTACACAACAACTTATCCTTCTATGCAATTGACCAATCATCTATGCAACTGACCCCTCATCTATACAACTGACCAGCCCAATATCCATCCCACCATTTATGCAAATAACCATACAACAGACTACCCCACAATCTATGTCACAAACCACCAATAATCTACACAACTCATCCATCTATGCAACTGACCAATCATCTATACAACTGACCAATCATCTATACAACTGACCAACCATCTATATAAATGACAGTCAAACTATACAATTAATCATTCATTTATACAACTGACCACCCATCTACACAAATGACCAGCTATTTATACAACTAACCACCCATCTATACAACTGACCACACATTTATACAACTGACCACCCATCAATACAACTGACCAGCCACAACTGACCACCCATCTAAAAAAAACTAAACAAACCACCACCTACACAAATGACTAGTATACCATGCCACCATTTGTAAAAATGACTATTATGTCACTATGGCAAAAGTACTCACATAGTGGCCAACTGCTGTATGGGTATCTCCGGGTCATTGCAGGCAATCCATACATGCTTGGCTATAGAGAGCCCCAACTGTGGGTTCTCGTCCATCCCTGGGAGAACTGAGCTGATCTCAGCCAAGCACTGACCACAGACAACATTGTATGAGATTTACAAATCACATGTAAGACATGAAAACATTATACAATGTTTATAAATTACATGTCGGACACAAAACAACATTGTACAGCGTCGGTCAAGAGAAAACATTTGGTCTAGATGCAGAACTAAGTAGACAAACAGGTAAGGCTTCTGCAATGCTTTCCAAGCTCACAACAAGATGCTATCAAAAAAAAAAGACTTACTTACAAATGGAACAAAATTAAGTTAATGAAGCTTGCGTCTGGAGCATGCTTCTTTACGGCAGTGAAACCTGGACTCTGTATGCTCATCAAGAGAAAATAAATACTTTCCACATGCACTGTATGAGACACGATCCTGGTATATCACGGCAAAACTTTGTCCCCAATGAATGTGTACTTGAAAGAGCAGGAATGCCAACAATATACTTTTTACTTGAGCAATGGTTGGGACATGTCTCAGGCAGGGACGGTCACATTCCAACTGGTAACAGGGATAAGATCTGCGGAAAGTCCCTACTGCATTGATTCACCTACTGAGGTCAGAAAGAGCTGCAATCAGTTGAATGTTTTACCTGTCAATGCTATGCTGACAATAGGAAATATGCAACAACCTCTAAAATGTTGAATTTGTCATCAAGGGAGATTCTAGGCCGGACTTTTCAGAAAAATAACCTTGGCTCCCAGGTCAACCCAGCCTTAAATGGGTACCAAGTAAAGTCGGTCCTGGGAAGTTTAAGCGGCCAACTTGATGCTGACCACATTACTCACCATGTGACGTTAGATCTATAAAATATGTTTGAAGATGTGGAAACGGGCCCTTTACAAGGGAGATCCTGACACCAGGAAAATGCAGTAGCCTACAATGTAAAGCCACCCACACTTGGAGACTATGCTACAAAAAGCTGCACCACCTATAAAGCCATATCCCTGACAGCCACACTGGGAGACTATGCTACAATAAGCTGTCCTACCTGTAAAGCCACATCCCTGACAGCCACACTGGGAGACTATGCTACAATAAGCTGCCCTACCTGTAAAGCCACACTGGGAGACTATGCTACAATAAGCTGCCCTACCTGTAAAGCCACACTGGGAGACTATGCTACAATAAGCTGCCCTACTTGTAAAGCCACATCCCTGACACCCACACTTTGAGACTATGCTACAATAAGCTGCCCCACCTGTAAAGCCACACTGGGAGACTATGCTACAATAAGCTGCCCTACCTGTAAAGCCACATCCCTGACAGCCACACTGGGAGACTATGTTACAATAAGCTGCCCTACCTGTAAAGCCACACTGGGAGACTATGCTACAATAAGCTGCCCTACCTGTAAAGCCACACTGGGAGACTATGCTACAATAAGCTGCCCTACCTGTAAAGCCACATCCCTGACAGCCACATTGGGAGACTATGCTACAATAAGCTGCCCTACCTGTAAAGCCACACTGGGAGACTATGCTTCAATAAGCTGCCCTACCTGTAAAGCCACATCCCTGATGGCCACACTTTGAGACTATGCTACAATAAGCTGCCCTACCTGTAAAGCCACATCCCTGACAGCCACACTGGGAGACTATGCTACAATAAGCTGCCCTACCTGTAAAGCCACATCCCTGACAGCCACACTGGGAGACTATGCTACAATAAGCTGCCCTACCTGTAAAGCCACACCTGGAGACTATGCTACAATAAGCTGCCCTACCTGTAAAGCCACATCCCTGACAGCCACGCTGGGAGACTGTAAAGCCTTCAGCAGGACCTGGACTTCCCCATCAGTAGCCACGGTTGCCCCCGGGTCACCATTAGCCGCCCGTGCCAACTCCAGAAGAGTGTTGTTAGCCAGCTGCTGGATCTCATGAGGGAAAGTGCCCACAGCCGTCAGACAGACCTCCAGGAGCTGCTGACGGGGCAGCAAGTCTGGGTCATACTGTGAAATATCAAGTATTATTAGATGGTGTTACAATACATTAACATACAGCAAGCCTGGGTCATACTGTGAAATATCAGGTATTATTAGATAGTGTTACAATACAGTATAATACAGCAAGTCTGGGTTATACAGTAAAATATGACGTATGGTTGGATGATGTTACAATACAGAAACATACAGCAAGTTTGGGTCATCCAGTAAAATATGAGGTATGGTTATATGGTGTTATACAGCCAACATACAGTAAAATACAATAAATCAGGGTTGTACTGTAAAATATGAGTTGTGGTTAGATGATGTTATACAACACACAGTAACATAATTTGGGTTATACTGTAACATAAGAAGTGTGCTTATATGGTGTGACACAAGACATGTAATAGAGTATCACATTTATCAGAGAAGAAATATCTTATTTAAGAGAAAAAACTATCACAGTGTACAGGTAAACCAGTAGAGGTCAAGATTCTACTGGGAAAACAGAATCAATGAGTAGGTGGCATGAACCTTATGAGGCAAGCATGAATTTTGCGTAGGTGGCCAAAAGTCATGAGAAGTGGACAGTGCAAGAAATGCGTGAGAACAATCTGGAAGGAACGGAAGAGGATTTTTAAGCCATGAGGATCTGAGGACCCTAGACAATTTACCTCTGGTATTGTTTTGATCAAGACAAAATGGTTGCAGAATAAAATGAATCATTATCGGCTGTTTGGCATTTAATTAACGTGTGTTTCTGTTCAAGTTTTCTGCATTACAGTATTCCAGAATGTGTCAGAGTAGACTGCATGTAATTACAGCCAAGAGAGTCAATGCAGTAATGGAGGCTCGTCTCAGCGTAAGAAAGTCCAGAGTCACTGCAGTAATGCCACAAAAGTTGGAGACCATAAAGATGGACAATACAGGGTCACAAACTTGTGGCTAATCTCACAGCTGTGTGTACATGAAACATGGATAATAGAGAGATCCAAACTTTTTGCTGACCTCACCGATGCATGTACATGAAACAGACAACAGAGAGAGAGACAAGCTTGTTGTATCTACACGAAACACGGACAATAAAGATACTATGATAATAAAACAGCTACCAAAAAAAAAACATTTTATGCCGGTGAATGTGTGGTTTCTAAAGGGATGAAAAGAACACAATGAATGGCAGAACAGCAAAATGAAGCCCAAGAAATCTATATAATGATTAGAGAAGTCAGACACACAGATTCAGGGCACGAAATAAAGTAAACACTCAACTAAAAACTCTGTGGCAGAAAATTTAGATAAATTGAGCACTGGGAAATTAAAAGAAAACAATCCCCGAATACCTGAGCCGCATCACAGGAGAAACAAGAACAAAGACACTATCCAAGACGGGTGATCATGAGAAAGTGAACTAGGCTTATGATGACAACAACAACACATGACAAGGATGATGACATAACAAGAAAAGCAACCAGAAAAAGAATATCTGACCACATCGACGCTGGAAGGATCCTCTTTGGTCCGCCTCATCTTGGCATGCTCTTGTATCAGCTGCAGCACCTGGCTACAGACTATCATGTCCCCCTTGACAGCCGCCCCGCCTTGGTTCAGCACACAGCGCAGCAAGTAAAACATGCAGCAGAATGTTGGTGCTGGAAACACACTGGACACCTCCAGCTGAAATGATCAATTTGACAGAAACTTTGACAACATCAAGCTTACATACAACTCAACTAGTAAGCACTAACTAATGAGATGCTTCCTTACTACACACACACAGAGACAGACAGGCAGGCACTCACCCATAGTGTTCAAACACTTGAAGGTATTTCTTGGTGGATTGACACACAGAGAAGGAGAGACAAATTAGAAGACAATGTGACCCAAGATACGCTGAAGAACTGAACTACTTTTTAGAAGTCCAGGAAAGTATTTATGCATGTTTTATAGATTTCAAGAAGGCCTTTGACAGGGTCAACATGAAAAACTAATTGCATCCCTCTAAAATATTGAATTAAATGGAAAGGGTATCAGAATTATTTATAACCTATCCATCCATCATGTAGCAGGTCCTTTGCAGAACATCGCTCTCATCACAGTCTGCGTGAAACTTGGTCTCATAAGCTATACCGGGAATAAATAGCAACGGTTAGATATATCTCCTCACAGCAGATATAAAAAAAAAAAGGGAAGTATGTCAGTGATGTGTGTTATCCCCAAGCGTTTTTAACTTATATTCAGAAAACATTTTTAAATAGGCTGAGGAATTGCCTGGACTGAATATTAATGGAAGAATAATAAACAACCTGAGAGATGCAGATGACAAAGTGTTACTAGCGGAGAGCTAGCAGGAGTTACAAGGCCAAGTCAATAGGTGGGATGCAGAGTATGGTTTAGAAATGAACAATCGAAAAACAAAAACTATGGTAATTAACAATGAAAAATAACGGCCAAAAGTAAACATCATAGTAAGAGATAGAACATGTGGGAGATAGAACGTGTGGGAGATAGAGCATGTGGGAGATAGAGCGTGTGGGAGATAGAATGTGTGGAAGATAGAACATGTGGGAGATAGAACATGTGGGAGATAGAGCGTGTAGGATATAGAGCGTGTGGGAAATAGAGTGTGTGGGCGATAGAACGTGTGGGAGATAGAACATGTGGGAGATAAAATGTGTGGGAGATAGAACCTGTGGGAGATAGAACGTGTGGGAGATAGAACATGTGGGAGATAGAACGTGTGGGAGATAGAACATGTGGGAGATAGAGCATGTGGGAGATTCATTGCAGTCAACCTTCACCGTGGAGACAGTACCTGACTGACAGACTGAAGATAGGCTGAAGAACTAAGCAAGTTGGACAGATTGAATGAGAAACAATGTAGACTGAAGGAGAGACACACGGTGGATAGAAATTAAAAAAAAAGAGATACAAGTTGAACTGACTAAAGAGATTTACAAGTTAGAAAAACTTGAGAACTAGTATACCTCTCCGTCATCTAAATCCAAAGAATTCTCCGGCGGCTGTCGGACGCTGGCAATATACAACTTGCTGACTGCCCTGACTGTCTGTGACAGTAGCTTTTCCTCCGTCCAGGCTCTCTCCAGAGGACAGGCCGGCTGCAGCAGGCGCAGTGTGGCATGGCTCACCAGATCCGCTAGACAAACAAATGTTGGATAGCTCAAACTTTTAAGTCTATGAACATTTGATACAAACACTCTATAAACATACAAACAGTGTGACAGTGCCACACACAATCTCCACTCTATAAATATACAACTAGTGTGATAGTGCCACATACAATCTCCACTCCCCCCCCCCCCCCCCCTCCCCTCCCCTTAACATGCACTTTCACTATTCACTTCATCAAAACATGTACCAAGCTGAGAAGTGCAGATCTTAGACATGATCTCTGGACACAAAATATGACATGATCTCTGGACACAAAATATGACATGATCTCTGGATACAAAATATGACATGATCTCTGGACATAAAATATGACATGATCTCTGGACACAAAATGTGACATGATCTCTGGACACAAAATATGACATGATTTCTGGACACAAAATATGACATGATCTCTGGACACGAAATATGACATGATCTCTGGACATAAAATATGACATGATCTCTGGACACAAAATGTGACATGATCTCTGGACACAAAATATGACATGATTTATGGACACAAAATATGACATGATCTCTGGACACGAAATATGACATGATCTCTGGACACAAAATATGACATGATCTTTGGATACAAAATGTGACATGATCTCTGACTGTAAACATGACATAAAGCTCAGTTAAGAGTTCAGTCAGATGTGGCAGATTGTGTGTCAACCTGTGTTCTGTCAGAGGTGATCTCAGTGACAAGTGAAATGAACTTATGAGAGCTAGCACAGAGTAGTAGAAAGATCCATGATACACAAATATGACATGATCTCCAATTACAAACATGACATGATCTCCGAATACAAACATGACATGATCTCCAATTACAATCATGACATGATCTCCAATTACAAACATTACATGATCTTCAATTATAAATATGACCTCCAATTACAAACATGACATGTTTTGTGATTACCAGATGCAAAGATGACTGGCTTACCCAAAGAGCGGTCAGTGAATGCTGCCCGAGCCATGCGGACAAAGAGGGTGCTCACTGACTGAGCAGCAAGTGGTGATTGCAGCAGGGGTACCAATGACTCGTAGACGTCCTTGACATGGGTAGAGATCTCATCATTCATCACTGGCAGCAGGGAGTCCACAATCGAGCAGGAGCACAGAACATTTCTGTTGAGCTGCAACAAGAACCAGTACAACAAGCATCACATGTTGAGCTGTAACAAGAACCAGTACATGTTGAGCTGTAACAAGAACCAGTACATGTCGAGCTGTAACAAGAACCAGTACATGTCGAGCTGCAACAAGAACCAGTACATGTTGAGCTGCAACAAGAACCAGTACATGTTGAGCTGTAACAAAAACCAGTACAACAAGCATCACAACATGCTCAGCTGTAACAAGAACCAGTACATGTTGAGCTGCAACAAGAACCTGTTCATGTTGAGCTGCAACGAGAACCTGTACATGTTGAGCTGCAACAAGAACCTGTACATGTTGAGCTGCAACAAGAACCTGTACATGTAGCTGCAACAAGAACCTGTACATGTTGAGCTGCAACAGGAACCAGTACATGTTGAGCTGCAACAAGAACCAGTACATGTTGAGCTGCAACAAGAGCCAGTACGGAACCAGTACATGTTGAGCTGCAACAAGAACCTGTACATGCTGAGCTGTAACAAGAACCAGTACGTTGAGCTGTAACAAGAACCTGTACATGTTAAGCTGTAACAAGAACCTGTATATGTTGAGCTGTAACAAGAACCAGTACATGTTAAGCTGTAACAAGAACCAGTACATGTCGAGCTGCAACAAGAACCAGTACAACATGCTGAGCTGCAACACGAACTAGTACAAAAAGCATCACCATGTTGTGAGCTGCAACAATAACCAGTACAAAAAGCACTACAACATGTTGAGCTGCAACAAGAACCTGTACAACATGTTGTGCTGTAACAAAAACCAGTACAAGAAGCATCAAAACATTTTTAGCTGTAAGAAGAACCAATTTACAAGAAGCATCACAACATGTTGAGCTGCAACAAGAACCAGTAAAAGAAGCATCACATGCTGAGCTGTAACAAGAAATAGTATTTTAAGAAAATCATCATAGTATGAGATAAAACCAATAACAATTTGAGTTTCTCCTGTGTGGGTTCTGAAAACCCATTTAGGAAGAAGGGGGGGGGGGGGGGGGGGGGGGGGGGGGGGGGGGGTGAACAGCATGCCAAACAAGGGATTAATTTAGGGTGTTTACATTGAAGTCTGAGTGCATCTGCCCGAGAGGTAAGGAACCAACAGTCTGCATACAGATGAGACATATAAAATTGATGTGCATGCCAAACTCAAGATCTGGAACCAGAACAAAGTCAAGAAGTGGGCGAACAACCAGAACTTAGCACCAGAGTTTAAAGCACGTGAAGGCTAGAATAAGATGAATTTCAGCTACAACAGGAACAAGTGCAGCAAACACAAATTAAGCTACAACAAGGAACCAGTACAACAAGCACCAATATAACATCACAACTTGAGCTACAATAAAAACTGTTACAACAAGAAACTAATACAATAAATACCATCACGTGACCTACAACATATCCTTGACAGAATTGTCTGCAGAATCTTAAAACCCCATCGGACAGGCTATACCTATGTTGCTATTTCTTCTTCATGGTTCGTCTGAGTGACATAACTGGGCTGTGTCTGTTTACAGCACAGCTTCAATATTTGCATCTTTGGGCTGACACATCTGAGCTGTCCATGTTTACAGCACAGTATTAATATTTGCATCTTTGGACCGTCACATCTGAGTGACATATTGGGCTGTCAATGTTTACAGCTTAGCATTATTTTTGCACCTTTGGGACTTCTTTGGGTATCATTTTTTTTTTAAGAATAACCTTAATGGCTGGTTTTGTGATAAGTACCAGAGGTTGCCTGGACACTGCATCTTGGGAGCTACCAGCTTGGCTTAGGCCAACACAAGCCAATAACTTTGGTGCAAAACGCTGATGTACAGCAGGAGATCTGCATAAGATTTCGTAAAACCAGCACAGAGCCCGCTGGTGCCCCAGCTGAAGTACTGGTATCCCCTTATACACAGCAGATAGCCCTGACTGTCCCTCTAGCTTGTGACCTAAGCAACAGCACTGATATGCTGCAATATGACTGCTGTTAGGGAGAGAATGGCCCGGCAGAAAGAAAAACAACAACTCACCGCTCTCAGCCTGTTTCGGATGTCAGACTCCTTCTGTTTCTGGGCTGCTAGCTGTTCTTCTTGTTTCTTGCTGAGTTTGGGAGTCTCTTGTGGCTTCTTACCCTTCTTTCTTTCCATTTCCTGAAAACAAAGATCAGGTCAGTGTCTGGGAGCAATCAACTATGAGAGCAACCAACTATGGGAGCAATCAACTATGAGAGCAATCAACTACTAGAACATGAGTTGGTGAGTCAGCAAGAGTAGAGTCAAACTATTGTATGCATGTCAATCTTGGACATCAGGTCAGCAAGAAACCATAACTGATGTGCATGAGATGCAATGTTGTGTACACACTCCTCTGTAACTGTTGTGTATGAAGTGTGCTGATGTGTACATGCTACTCTGTAACTGTTGTGTAAGAAGTGTGCTGCTGTGTACACACTACTACTTCTTCTTCTTCTTTGCGTTCACCAGCTGTACACTCTGGCGGAAAGTTCTGGTTGCTCGTCCATTACTGAGCTGCAGTCGTGCTCCAGAACCTGAGTGTTGCTTGTGCATCAGTTTTACAGATCTCATTCTCTTGAATAAAGACTGTTGGTTCCTTGCCTCTCCAGCAAATGCACTCCGACTACAAAGGAAGCTCCCCAATTAGTCGACTTTTACGACATGCTTTTGGGGAGGCAGTGGGTCTATTCTTGTTTTCCCCACAATGGGGCCCCGGAACCCACACGGGGGACTACTACTTCTGTTGTGTAAGAAGTGTGCTGCTGTGTACACTCGTAACAGTTGTGTATAAGATGCACTGCTGTGTACACACTTCTTGCGGGTGACTGTAGATGTGTCTACGTTGACTATGAGACAATGTGAGAAGATATCATGAAACCCACCTGTCGTAACTCCAGCTCTGCCATCTGTTCAGCATAAGAGTAAAGCTTGTTCTCCTTGCGAACATTCTGGTCTCCAGCTGAAGCTTTCATGGCACTGCACAACAGAATCAACATGTCACTAGTATAAATGGCTAAAACATGTAGACCACATTGACATCTGATGGCTAAAACATGTAGACAACATTGACATCTGATGGCTAAAACATAAAGACCACATATATATCCGATGGCTAAAATATGTAAACAACATACATATCTGATGGCTAAAACATGTAGACAACATTGACATCCGATGGCTAAAACATGAAGACAACATTGACATCTGATGGCTAAAAAATTTAGACAACATACACATCTGATGATTAAAACATGTAGACCACATTGACATCTGATGGCTAAAACATGAAGACCACATATATATCTGATCGCTAAAATATGTAGACAAACATACACATCTGATGATAAAAACATGTAGACAACATACATATTTGTTGGTTAAAACATGTAGACAACATTCATATCTGATGGCTAAAACACGTGGACAACATACATATCTGATGGCTAAAACATGTAAACAACATACATATCTTATGGCTAAAACATGTAGACAACATACATATCTGATGGCTAAAACATGTAGACAACATACACATCTGATGGCTAAAACATGTAAACAACATACATATCTGATGGCTAAAACATGTAAACAACATACATATCTGATGGCTAAAACATGTAGACAACATACATATCTGATGGCTAAAACATGTAGACAACATACACATCTGATGGCTAAAACATGAAGACCACATATATATCTGACGGCTAAAACATAGAGACCACATATATATCTGATCGCTAAAATATGTAGACAAACATACACATCTGATGATAAAAACATGTAAACAACATACATATCTGATGGCTAAAACATGTAAACAACATACATATCTTATGGCTAAAACATGTAAACATACACATCTGATGGCTAAAACATGTAGACAACATACATATCTGATGGCTAAAACATGTAGACAACATACACATCTGATGGCTAAAACATGAAGACCACATATATATCTGACGGCTAAAACATAGAGACCACATATATATCTGATCGCTAAAATATGTAGACAAACATACACATCTGATGATAAAAACATGTAAACAACATACATATCTGATGGCTAAAACATGTAAACAACATACATATCTTATGGCTAAAACATGTAGACAACATACACATCTGATGGCTAAAACATGTAGACAACATACATATCTGATGGCTAAAACATGTAGACAACATACACATCTGATGGCTAAAACATGTAGACAACATACATATCTGATGGCTAAAACATGTAGCCAACATACACATCTGATGGCTAAAACATGTAGACAACATACATATCTGATGACAATTAAAACAAATCTAACACTTACGAAAAGCAAGACATGCGTAAGCAGCTGTTGCATAATGGTAAGACACCAGTCTGCAGATTGGTGTTTTATTACATACTAGGGTGGATGTGTTACTGTCCTTGGCCCCTAGATAAGGGTCAAATCACTAGCTGCAACAGCCTACCAGGGAATGTCCTGGGCCCCCAGGTAAGTCAAACCACTAGCTGCAACAGCCTACCTGGGTATGTCTAAGGCCCTTAGATAAGTCAAACCACTAACTGCAACAGTCTACCAGGGTATGTCCTGGGCCCCCAGGTAAGTCAAACCACTAGCTGCCACAGCCTACCTGGGTATTTCCAAGGCCCTTAGATAAGTCAAACCACTAACTGCAACAGTCTACCAGGGTATGTCCTGGGCCCCCAGGTAAGTCAAACCACTAGCTGCAACAGCCTACCTGGGTATTTCCAAGGCCCTTAGATAAGTCAAACCACTAACTGCAACAGTCTACCAGGGAATGTCCTGGCCCCCAGATAAGTCAAATCAAACCATTAGCTGCAACAGTCTACCAGGGTATGTCCTGGGCCCCCAGGTAAGTCAAACCACTAGCTGCAACAGCCTACCTGGGTATTTCCAAGGCCCTTAGATAAGTCAAACCACTAACTGCAACAGTCTACCAGGGAATGTCCTGGGCCCCAGATAAGTCAAATCAAACCACTAACTGCAACAGTCTACCAGGGAATGTCCTGGGCCCCAGATAAGTCAAATCAAACCATTAGCTGCAACAGTCTACCAGGGAATGTCCTGGGGCCCCTGGTAAGTCAACCCAGGTGGAAAAGCCTACCATGCAATGTCCTGGGCCGCCAGGTGAGTCAAACCAAACCACTAGCTGAAACAGTCTACCAAAGAATGTCCTTGGCCCCCAGGTAAGTCAAACCAGCTGAAACAGCTTACCAAGCAATGTCCTGGGCCGCCAGGTAAGTCAAACCAAACCACTAGCTGAAACAGCCTACCAGAGAATGTCCTTGGCCCCCAGGTAAGTGAAACTAGCTGAAACAGCCTACCAGAGAATGTCCTGGGCCCCCAGGTAAGTCAAACCAGCTGAAAAAGCCTATTTAGGAATGTGCTGGGAATAAAAGATGGCTGGCATGATGCTGACCCACTCCAGTCAGCCAGAAATGGAATAACCTGGAACCCCCTCCACCACCCCATCCCCCTTTTTTTCTTTACAACTCACCTCTCCAAGATTGTTTTGTCATAAAGCTGCCCATCAGGAGTCAGGAAGATACCATATTCTTCCTGGGTGATGTGGACCAAAGCTGGGCTGGACAGCAGTTCCTGCACATAGCTGACCAGCTGAGGGACAACCACACCAGAACTGGCCAGTGCCAGGGTGGACACAGCATTTGCTTCAGCCTGAGAACATGGCACAGAACTCTTGAGAATGTGTGTGCATAGGTGTGTGTATGTGTGTGGGTGCAGGCATAAATGTGTGAGTGACGTTTATGTTGTTTGTACACAATATTTATCTCAGTAAAATGTCTATGTTAGATGTACACAAGCCAGTCTATCAGTACCAAGTCTATGTTATATGAACACACAAGCTCTACCTCAGCACCAGGTCTATGTTACATGTACACAAATGCTCTACCTCAGAAGCAAGTCAATGTTACATGTACACACAAGATCTACCAGGTCTATGTTACATGACATATAAGATCCACCTCAGCATCAGGTCTGTTACATGAACACACACGCTCTACCTCAGCACCAGGTCAATGTTACATGTACACACAAGCTCTACCTCAGCACCAGGTCAATGTTACATGTACACACACGCTCTACCTCAGCACCAGGTCAATGTTACATGTACACACAAGCTCTACCTCAGCACCAGGTCAATGTTACATGTACACATAAGCTCTGCCTCAGCACCAGGTCAATGTTACATGTACACAAAAGATCTACCGGTCTATGTTACATGACATATAAAATCCACCTCAGCATCAGGTCTGTTACATGTACACACACGCTCTACCTCAGCACCAGGTCAATGTTACATGTACACACAAGCTCTACCTCAGCACCAGGTCAATGTTACATGTACACATAAGCTCTGCCTCAGCACCAGGTCAATGTTACATGTACACACAAGATCCGCCACAGCACCAGGTCAATGTTACATGTACACACAAGCTCTGCCTCAGCACCAGGTCAATGTTACATGTACACACAAGATCCACCACAGCACCAGGTCAATGTTACATGTAGACACGAGATCTACCCCAGCACCAGGTCAATGTTACATGTAGACACAAGATCTACCCCAGCACCAGGTCAATGTTACATGTACACACGAGATCCACCTCAGCACCAGGTCAGTGTTACATGTAGACACGAGATCCACCACAGCACCAGGTCAATGTTACATGTATATACAACACCACACAAAGACCCACCTCGGAGAGCAGATCCCCAGTTTTGATGAGGTCAAGACATTCCTGAGCGTGGCTGCCAACAAAGTTGCCTGGGTCCAGGTTGAGGCCCCGCAGTATGGTCACCCATAGGTCTTTCTTCACATGAACTGAAATAAATACAATCATGAAGCTCGGGCTAGGAATGTCAAAAAATCTCAGAGCTAAAAGCATTTTCAAGTCAAATATCATACAATCACAGATCTCAGAGTTAGGGCAAAGCAAATGTCAAACATTCAAACTGAGGCACCTGGGTGTAACCAGAGGAAAGTCAAGATGGACATATAACCAGATTGTGACCAGTACCATCAGTATTGGGACTCTGCATTTGCTGCTGAAGATGAGGACGGAGCCTACACGGTAATGCCCCGAGTGCAGTGATGTCGATTCTGGACTCAATTCAACATTCACACAGCTTAGAGTTAGGGCAAGTCAAATATCATACAAATACAGAACTCAGGGTTAGGGCAAGTGAAATATCATACAAACACAGAGCTCGGAGTTAGGGCAAGTCAAATATCATACAAACATAGAACTCAGGGTTAGGGCAAGTGAAATATCACATAAACACATAGCTTGAAGTAGGGCAAGTCAAATATCATACAACACAGAGCTCAGAGTTAGGGCAAATCAAATATCACACAAACACAGAGCTCGGAGTTAGGGCAAGTCAAATATCATACAAACACAGAGCTCGGAGTTAGGGCAAGTCAAATATCATACAAACATAGAACTCAGGGTTAGGGCAAGTGAAATATCACACAAACACATAGCTTGAAGTTAAGGCAAGTCAAATGTCATACAAACACAGAGCTAGGTCAAGTCAAATATAATACAATCACAGAGCTTACTGGGCAAGTCAAATCACAGAACTTACAGTTAAGGCAAGCGAAACATCATAGAATTTCAGTTGATCATTATAGATTTTGTGACTTAAGCTCTGGAATTCTATGATGTTTCGCTTGCCTTAACTGTAAGTTAAGATAGGACAGGATGGTTAGTTGGTAAGATAGGACAGGATGGTCAGTTGGTAAGATAGGACAGGATGGTCAGTTGGTAAGACAGGACAGGATGGTTAGTTGGTAAGATAGGACAGGATGGTCAGTTGGTAATATAGGACAGGATGGTTAGTTGGTAAGATAGGACAGGATGGTTAGTTGGTAAGATAGGACAGGATGGTTAGTTGGTAAGATAGGACAGGATGGTTAGTTGGTAAGATAGGACAGGATGGTTAGTTGGTAAGATAGGACAGGATGGTCAGTTGGTAAGATAGGACAGGATGGTTAGTTGGTAAGATAGGACAGGATGGTTAGTTGGTAAGATAGGACAGGATGGTCAGTTGGTAAGATAGGACAGGATGGTTAGTTGGTAAGATAGGACAGGATGGTTAGTTGGTAAGATAGGACAGGATGGTTAGATAAACTAGGATGGTCATCGGTGAGACAAGACAGATTGTCAGATAAACTAGGCTGGTCAGTTGGTAAGATGAGACAGCACAATCAGACTGAAAAAAAACCTACCAATATAAGGATGATGTGCTGGTATAAGGGTTGCCATAGCAATCTTCTCCGCCTCAGTGACCTCCACTCTTGCCACACTGCAGACAGTCTGCAAGGTGGAGGCAATGATTCGGGGAGTAACCACCTTGCTGGCAGACCCATCACCACCATCAGGCTTGGAACTGTCTTCATCCCTGGACACTGACTTCTGCAGTTCTGACAACTGAAAGCATATCAAACAACTAGATATTAACTGTTGAAACATAGAAAAAGGCTAACATACTCAGAAACAGACTGCAACAAACACAGAAACAGACTGTAATAAACATAGAAACAAACAGAGAAACAGACTGCAACAAATTGAAACTCATGAACCAGACTCACCATCTGGGAGTGCAGCATTGACAAAACTCATGAACCAGACTCACCTTCTGAGATGCAGCACTGACTGAAACTCATGAACCAGACTCACCATCTGGGCGTGCAGCACTGACAAACTCATGAACCAGACTCACCTTCTAGGAGTGCAGCACTGACAAACTCATGAACCAGACTCACCTTATGGGAGTGCAGCACTGACTAAAAGTCATGAACCAGACTCACCTTATGGGAGTGCAGCACTGACTGAAACTCATGAACCAGACTCACCTTCTGGGAGTGCAGCACTGACTGAAACTCATGAACGAGACTCACCTTCTGGGAGTGCAGCACTGACTGAAACTCATGAACCAGACTCACCTTCTGGGAGTGCAGCACTGACTGAAACTCATGAACCAGACTCACCTTCTGGGAGTGCAGCACTGACTGAAACTCATGACCCAGACTCACCTTCTGGGTGTGCAGCACTGATTGAAACTCATGAACCAGAGACAAAGCGATGCGGGCACCACCCAGCACTGCCAGGATTTTCTTGGTGGTGGTTGCAGCAGCATGCCTCACTAGCCAAGACCGTCGGCACAAACAGAATATCAGAGCTCTGTAGTAGGGCCTGGATATATGGGCAGCAAAGGGGTACATGAGTCACAAGTCTTTCAATCACATGGATTACTTAGTCACAGGTCTTCAATAATAAAACAGTCATGGATAACAGTCATAGGTCTTCAATCATACCACAGCCATGGATAACTTAGTCACCAGTCTTTCTATCATATGTCAGTCTCCAGTCACATAATACACATGGGGAAACTGGTTATAAGATTACTATCATACAATACGCATAGATAACTTGGTCACAAATATCCAATAACATAACAGACATGGATAACATGGTCATAAGTCTCCAATCACATGACACACATGGATAACTTGGTTAAGTCTCCAATCACATGACACACATGGATAACTTAGTAAGTCTCCAATCACAAGACACACATGGATAACTTAGTAAGTCTCCAATCACATGACACACATGGATAACTTGGTCACAAGTCTCCAATGACATGACACACATGGATAACTTAGTAACTCTCCAATCACATGACACACATGGATAACTTGGTCACAAGTCTCCAATCACATGACACACATGGATAACTTGGTCATAAGTCTCCAATCACATGACACACATGGATAACTTGGTCACAAGTCTCTAATCACATGACACGCATGGATAACTTAATAAGTCTCCAATCACATAACATTCAAGGATAACTTGGTCACAAGTCTCTAATCACATGACACACATGGATAACTTAGTAAGTCTCCAATCACATAACATTCATGGATAACTTGTTCACAAGTCTCTCATCACATGACACGCATGGATAACTTAGTAAGTCTCCAATCACATAACATTCATGGATAACTTGTTCACAAGTCTCTAATCACATGACATGCATGGATAACTTAGTAAGTCTCCAATCACATGACACATGTGGATAACTTGGTCGTAAGTCTCTATTCACAAAACACACATGGATCGCAATTTTCAACACAGTAGTGAAAACAATATGTAACCAAAAATGAAAGACTTATTTAGCTTTAGTCATTTGTGTAAGGACTTGTACAACTTATCTAGCTTTAGTCATTTGTGTGAGGACTTGTACAACTTACTTAGCTTTAGTCATTTATGTAAGGATATCCAACTTATCTAGCTTTAGTCATTTATGTAAGGACTTGTACAACTTATCTAGCTTTAGTCATTTATGAAATGACTTGTACAACTCATCTAGCTTTAGTCATTTGTGTGAGGACTTGTATAACTTACCTAGCAACATCATCTGTCATTCTGGTAGGAAAATCTAGGATCAGTCTCTCAATGAGAAACACCAAACTCTGTAAAGCTGCAGATACAAGACAACACTCACTGACCATTACTGCCTAACTGACCACACAGAAATACAAAAATGTGTAATGCTGCAGATATGAGACAAGTCAACACTCACTGACCACATCTCGACTTACAACACACCAGCCTACAGTCACATGTGTTCAGTGGTTCGTGAATCACAAACAAATAAACATAGACACCGTCACTGCCTTTCCCGCCAGCTGTATTCAGAGGCAAGTGTAAAGATGTGCATGATGATGATGGTGGACAAGGACAACATTTATGCGTGACAAAAGAGTTTATTTAAATTTTTGTTTTTTAAACATCGTCTAAGTTATAGTATTGACAATCACATCACCTGGGCAGGAGTAGTCATGAACTACTTGTTGAACTTCTGATTCTGCAGCACCAGCTGGCCAGTCCCTGCACTCACCAACTTGCTCAGATACTTTGACCCACTCATCTCCTCGCCAAAATTATCCGGCCCATATGTCCTGTTGTGTCTTCTGCTTGCGTCATCCAAACCTGCCTCTTTTCAGTCTGTGACTTTTAGACCTAGGGTTTCATGCAGCAGGTGCTTCTTGTCTGAAGATACCCTGAGATATGAGTGCTTGCAGATCCTTGAGCCTATCTGCAATAGCAGGCAGGGCAAGTCTCTGCTAAAGCCTTTCTTTGTCTATTTTCCCCACTACGGTCCCATGCTCTGTTCTCAGCAGTGAAATCCCCACAAATGAGAAGCCATTACCATAGATTCTATCTAGCTCTGTGAGCCAGTCCCAATGTTCCTTTGTGACAAGACAGTCAATAGCAGTGTAAACATATTCTTTCAATGCAGGAAGTAACAGTCAGCCTAGTACTGCCTGCCTGTTAGGGAAGAGGCAGGGGATGTCCTGACAGAGTCCATACACCTAACCCCGCCTACCTGCTAACCAGATGTTCTAGGTTCATGACTGTTTATCCCAGTCATTCAAATAATAGGCACCTAGGTCCAATGTAGGCTTAGGGTTGTTTCCTCTAGGTCAATTGTGTTTTGTGCCTCTTCGGACATGCACAACAGTCTTGACTGTAGAAAGATTTTCTTGATGAAGGGACTCATGACCTAAGTGTGATCCTTTCAACCTACAGGTACAAACACAGAGCTAGATCAAGCTCCCAAGGCAGAACAGCTAAAATGCTTCACTGCACAAGAGATCAGACATCTACCTCCCTGGATCCCTCTAATCCTTGAGTATTACGATGCACAATAATCATAGGTGGCTATATTCACTTATAGTTTATCCACGCTGCTAAGGGCCCTACGAACTATGACGTAGTGCAGGTTGCAAAAACATCAAACAATAAAAAAAATTACATAGTATCTAGCAAACACAACTTCCCTGCGGGCATCCAGCGGTAGAACAGTGCCATCATGCGTTTGAACTGGTAAGTGGTTTGATTTAAACAATGAAAACAATACGCTAACGTGTGGCCTTGAAATAATCATGTTAACTAGCGCCACCATACCGGAAGCAAGATTAGAAGAAGACAGAAACATGTTACACGTCAACACAGCTGACAACAAACATCAAGGATGATGATGATAATGTTAGCTCACTTTCATCTGTTGCTGAAGACAGAAACTTGTTACATGTCACACATCAACATGACTGACAATGAACATCAAGAATGATGATGATAATGTTAGCTTACTCTCATCTGTTGCTGAAGACAGAAACTTCTCATTGACTAGGTACTGTTTCTTATTGTCCAGGATCAGGTTCCAGAATGGGCCTAGTTTAGACTCTGTGTGGGCACAGCAATAAAAGGCATCAATCTTCAACATTCGGATACACACAATCTAAACCACAAATACATTCTCAATCAACTCTTTCCTGTCTATATTACTATCACAAACACACAATCACCTGACTGAACCACAACCACACACACAATCGACTCTCACTTGTCTGAATCATAACCACACAATCACCTGTCTGAATCATAACCACACATTTTATCAACTCTCACTTGTCCGATTTACAACCACAAAAATACAATCACCTGTCTGAAACATAACCACACACACAATCAACTCTCACCTGTGTGAATCACAACCGAACACAAAATCAATTCTCAACTATATGAATCACACCACACACACACACACTCTCTCTCACCTGTGTGGATCACAACTAGACATGTAATCAACTTTCACCTGTGTGAATCACAACCACATACAAAATCAACTCTCACCTGTACAAATACAACCCCACACACAATTAACTCTCAGCTGTGTGAATGACAACCTAACACATACAATTAACTCTCACCTGTGTGAATCACAAATGAACACACAAAATCAACTCTCACCTGTGTGAATCACAACCACACACATACAATTAACCATCGCCTGTGTGAATCACAAATTAACGTAGACAATCAACTCTCACCTGTATAAATCATAACCATACATAAAAAATAAACTCTTAGCTGTGTGAATCACGCATACAATCATCTCTCACCTGTGTGTCACAACAGACACACATACAATCAACTCTCAACTGATTCACAACCACATACACAATCAACTCTCACCTGTGTGAATGTCTACTAAAGACACTCGGACCAGCAGACATGATGCGGAGACAGCCTCAGATAGGAGCTGGGGTTGACCAGGTTGTTTCTCAGCCTTGTCCAGAGTTTGCAGCAACAGAGGCAGGATGTGGGTGGCCTGTGGCAGGGTGTCCCCTGTAACATGACATATAGTAGAGTTCACAGATACACTTCACATAAATTACATGTGGCAGGGTGTGGGTGGCCTGTGACAGGTAGAGCGGCCTGTAGCAAAGCGTCCAGAGTAGACAACACACACAAGTCAACATGCGAACAAGTAGACAACACACACAAGTCAACATGCGAACAAGTAGACTACACACACAAGTCAACATGGGAACAAGTAGACTACACACACAAGTCAACATGCGAACAAGTAGACAACACACACAAGTCAACATGCGAACAAGTAGACTACACACACAAGTCAACATGGGAACAAGTAGACTACACACACAAGTCAACATGCGAACAAGTAGACTACACACACAAGTCAACATGCGAACAAGTAGACTACACACACAAGTGTACAACCAACACACAGAAACCCTCACAGAAGCTAAAAACCCAAAAGTTGACACAGTCACAGGACACACCCAATCAGAGGACAACACTGTTACAGGACACACCCAATCAGAGGACAACACTGTAGGACACACCCAATCAGAGGACAACACAGTTACAGGACACACCCAATCAGAGGACAACACAGTTACAGGACACACCCAATCAGAAGACAACACTGTTACAGGACACACCCAATCAGAGGACAACACTGTTACAGGTCACACCCAATCAGAGGACAACACAGTTACAGGACACACCCAATCAGAGGACAACACAGTTACAGGTCACACCCAATCAGAGGACAACACAGTTACAGGTCACACCCAATCAGAGGACAACACAGTTACAGGTCACACCCAATCAGAGGACAACACAGTTACAGGACAGTTACAGTTTCAGGACAGCAGATAATTACAGGACATCAGACAGTAATAAGACAGCACACAGCTACAGGAAAGCAAGACAGTTGCAGGACAGCATACTGACCATGAAAGGCAGTGTTCATACAGCGGATGTAGGCATTCCGTACAGCAGACGTGGAGGTCTTCAGGCCAAATCCTTTCTGTAATCACACAAAATCTCTATTCAGACATTATCATGAAACTAAAACTCAGCTACAATAAAATCTCATATATCCGTCTACAACACAAGAAGACAACTCACACACAAAGGTAGACAAGTAACAACAACACACACACACACACACACACACACACACACACACACAAGAGTATCAAACACAAGTAGACAACAAACACACACACAAGTAAACAATTCACACACAACTGAACAATTTTCACACAGACAACACATATACTAGTAGAAAACTCACACAATTAAAAAAAACTTTAATTAGACAACTGACAAGTAGAAAACACACACAAATAGAATAATGACAAATAGACAACTTGTACAATTAGACAACTGGCAAGTAGACTACTCACACAATCAGAAAACTGACAAGTAGACAACTTGCACAATTAGATAATTGGCAAGTAGACAACACACCTTTATAAGCAGACAACAGACACACATGTAGACAACTTCTTCTTCTTCTTCGCCTTCACCAGCTGTACACTCTGGCGGAAAGTTCTGGTTGATCGTCCACTACTGAACTGCAGTCCTGCTCCAGAACCTTAGTGTTGCGTGTGCATCAGTTTTACAGATCTCATTCTCTTGAATACAGACTGTTGGTTCCTTGCCTCTCCGGCAGATGCACTCCGACTTCAAAGGAAGCTCCCCAATTAGTCGAATCTTACGACATGCTTTTGGGGAGGCAGTGGGTCTATTCCTGTTTTCCCAACAATGGGGGTTTGTGTAGACAACTGATAATCAGACAATACACACACACACGCAAACATACATACCTATGCAAAAGTAGACAATACACATACACACAAGTAGACAATACACACACACACAAGTAGACAACACACCCACACAAAGGAGACAACACACACACACACAAGCAGGCAACACACACACATACACAAGTAGAAAATTGATAAATAGACAACACACACACACAAGTAGCCAGAATCTCCACGTTTTGTGCAAAATGGTACAATAAAAAATTTGGTACATGTGACAGAGTGTGAGATGCTAAGACTGTACAATGCTACAGATGCTGCAACTGACTGTACTGAAAGAGTTGGTTCAGGTGTGTACAGGTGATAATTGATGATACGCTAAGAGATTGTAAAATGTACATACTGTAGGGAGAGGTACAAATGTGGTAAAGTGATAAAACAATGGTGTAACCAACCTGGAACCATAGCAACAGCTTCTCAGGAACCTCGTTGTAGAATTTGGCACACCACAGAGCCAGCATGGAGAGACTGTGCACCAGCGTGCCTTCGTGAACTGAAATATACACACACATACTGTCTCAAGTCAATTCATACATAAATGCACATATACTGTCTCAGGTCGATTCACACACACTGTCTCCCAACAACTCATACATGCGCATACTGTCTCAACGTGAAAATACATAGTCTCATGCCAACAGGAACATACATGGTCTCATGCCAACAGGAACATAGTCTCATGCCAACTAGAACACACATTGTCTCATAAACTCAGACGTACTGTTTCACATCAATACATCATGTAACTCCACATACTATGCGGGTTCTGCTTTATCTTCATGGAACATCAACGATACCTCCCCAATACTCAAGTGCTAAATCGTAGGTTTATCCGACATTCTCATGCCTTACTCTCTGTAGGTTTCCCTGACATTCTCCTGCAGACCTACCTTACTCTCTGCAGGTTTCCCTGACATTCTCCTGCACACCTACCTTATTCTCTGTAGGTTTCCCTGACATTCTCCTGCAGACCTACCTTACTCTCTGCAGGTTTCCCTGACATTCTCCTGCAGACCTACCTTACTCTCTGCAGGTTTCCCTGACATTCTCCTGCACACCTACCTTATTCTCTGTAGGTTTCCCTGACATTCTCCTGCAGACCTACCTTACTCTCTGCAGGTTTCACGACATTCTCCTGCAGACCTACCTTACTCTCTGCAGGTTTCACGACATTCTCCTGCAGACCTACCTTACTCTCTGCAGGTTTCACGACATTCTCCTGCAGACCTACCTTACTCTCTGCAGGTTTCCCTGACATTCTCCTGCAGACCTATCTAACTCTCCGCAGGTTTCACGACATTCTCCTGCAGACCTACCTTATTCTCTGCAGGTTTCCCTGACATTCTTCTGCGGACCTACCCTACTCTGCAGGTTTCCCTTACATTCTTCTGCTGACATGTCTTACTCTCTGCAGGTTTCCTTTATATTTTCCTGCTGATCTGCCTTCACCTGATGCTCTCTACAGGTTTTATCCTGACAGGCAGGGCACGGGAAAACAACCAAATGCCAAGCATCCCTACGACACTTCAAGAGCAATGCATAATGCTGGATGACCCACAAAATGGAAGAGACCAAATCTACAACATGGAAAAGATGAAAAAAGACTGACCTTCTTGCTGGAGAGTGGGGAGGAACATCTCACAGATGCTGGAGCTGAGTGCTTGCAGGGAGCTGTAGCCACTGACTGTGTTGTGTACCAGGTTACCAATAGCCTGCAGGACGCTTATCTTTTGGTCAGCGAATGTCAGCTTGCCTTCGGAACCTAGAGATATTGTATCATGTTTAGAGGTGTTGTATCCTATTTAGAGATGTTGTATCCTATTTAGAGATGTTGTATCCTATTTAGAAATGTTGTATCATGTTAAGAGATGTTGTATCATATTTAGAAATGTATCATTTTTAGAGACATGGTATCATATCTAGAGATGTTTTGTCATGTTTAGAGATGTTGTATCATATTCAGAGATGTCCAAGTAATACAATTATTACCAATAATCAAATTTAGATGTCCAAGCAGGAATATTCTATCAATGTACACAGAGTAGAGAAAGAGAAAACAGCAGACATCTATGTACAAACTCATCAAATGAGCACAGTATTCATCATCATCATGTGTCCTGCCAACTGACACAGGCGCTGATGCATCTCCACAGATCACAATCCCTGATTGCCTCGAACAGCTTTCTTAGTGATATCCCTCCATGCCATCATTTCAACTTATGCAGCATCCTCTCTCTTGGTCTGCCTCTACCCCTATTTCCACTGATCTTTCCAGTTGTCACGATATTCTCCAATGTCTCTCTTCTCATTACATAGCCAAAGAACAGTGTTTGTCTCTTTCTTATTGTTGTATATCATTAGCCTCTTTCAAGCAATCGTTGTTAGTTACTCTGGCCGTCCAAGGTACTCGTAACATTCGTCCCAGAAACAACATCTCTGTTGCTTCCAAATTCTTCTTAATTTGTTCAGTGACATTGCAAGATTTGCTGCCATACAGCAGAACAGGTTCTATGCAACATTTTAGCGCCCTCTTTTTGACATTAAATGAGAGCGATTTATTGCACAGTATTACCTCCAAGAATTTTAAACAGAAGAGTGGCCACCTTCTCCACAGCTCCGGGATCGCTGCACTGATGGGCCAGGTTTCTCACTGCCCGTACTGCCACAGCCCTGTTGCTTTCCTCCTTTGATGAGATGGCTCCTATCAAGATCAGTCAAACAATTCTCTATACTAAACATGTCACTGAATATTTCAAATGTCACTCAACAATCAGTACTCTATCAATCAACTCTCTGACACAACAATCAGTACTCTATATACTCTATCAGTCAACTCTTTGACAAAACAATCATTACTCCAGATACATTATCAGTCAACTCTTTGACACAACAATCATGACTCCAGATACATTATCATTCAACTCTCTGCTACAACAATCAGTACATCAGATACTCTTTTAATTAACTCTCTGCTACTACATCAGTTCCCTAGATACTCTACCGGTGAACTCTCTGGTACAACAATCAGTACTCTTAACACTATCAATCAACTCTCTGATACAGCAATCAGTACCCAAGATATGGTGTACTCTATAAATCAACTCTGAGTTGAGTTGAGTCAAGTACTGACATCACAGTACTCTGGGTATTCGCATATGCGCTCCGACCCATCCTCAGCAGCCAGCGCAGAGTTCAAATACTAATGGTGCCGGTCGTACTCTGGTTGTATGTCCGTCTTGCCTTTCCTGTGAGCGTAGTGTGCCGGCTGAACCCTCTGGTCACACCCAGGTGCATCATTCTCTCCAGCCCCCCATAATAATCTAGTTGCTCTTCTGACTTTGCTACTTGTTACCAAAGGACTCGGACCACTTTTGCCTTGTATCAATTCACCACCCGGCAGTGCAGATCCAGCCAATCTGTCTGCATGTTTATTCCCTACTACGCAGGCACGGCCTGGAAAAAATATCTTAAGTATGCTCACTACCTGTGACCTTGCAAGAAAAGCTTGCCACTCTGCTCGAAGCAATCCTGTCTTCATCTTTTTAAGCATGCTATCTTAGTCCACTACAATTATGACGTGTATGTATATTGTTTTCAAGCCACCGGCAAGCTGCAGTGACTGCCTCCACCTCCATTCATGATAGATGTTTTAGTATCATATACCAGGCTGTCCTGCACTAAAGATTTTTCTTCTGGGTTTTGTTGTGAAACCCTAGACAACTTACCAGAAAAGAGTTTGGCTATGTCTACCGCATACTGGCTGAGGTCTAGCTTGATACTTTTGATGAGTTCACTGACCGCTGAAATCACACAACATCGTAGTAAACATATACAAACAGAGTTCAATTCACATGTACCAACAAGGCAACAACAGAGTGACTGCTACAGCAGTGTAGTAGCTGAAGGTACAAGGTAATGCTAATTGTGCTTTCACACTGTCCTCTAGGGACATGAAACAGTCCATCAGTGTCGAAGAATGCAACCAACATAGCATGACACAGGATCTTGCCTGCCGCGTGTCTTTGGCAGAACAGATGGATATCATATGTCATGAAAATAATGCGGCTCAGCGCGGGCATGAGGAAAAGTTACGGCGGTTGTGCTGCGTATAAGCAGATACCCCGTACCTCACCAAGCGCACAAGCAGGCCCTGAGCTGGTTTTACCAAAGCTCATGTAAGAGTCCTACTACATGTCCACATCATTTATATGTCAGTTATAAACTACAAGTAGACACATGACAGTCACAACCTACAGGTAGACAGATGGCAGTTACTAAATACAGATATGTAGATGATGATTACAACCTACAGGTAGGCAGATAACAGTTATAATCTACAGGTAGGCAGATAACAGTTACAACCTACAGGTAGGCAAATAACAGTTATAACATACTGGTAGGCAGATAACAGCTATAACCTACAGGTAGGTAGATGATGGTTACAATCTTCAGATAGACAGATGGCAGTTACTAAATACAGGTAGGCCGATGGCGGTTACAACACATAGGTAAGTAGATGAAGGATACAATCTACAGGTAGGCGGATGAAGGTTACAACCTACAGGTAGGCAGATAACGGATACAACCTAAAGGTAGGCGAATGATAGTTACAACCTACAGGTAGGCCGATAACCCCTACAACGAGACAGATGACTGTTATAACACACAAGTAGGCAGATGACCCCTACAACCTACAGATAGGCAGATAACAGTTATAACCTACAGGTAGGTAGATTATGGTTACAATTTACAGATAGACAGATGGCAGTTACTAAATACAGGTAGGCATATGACAGTTACACAGGTAAGTAGATGAAGGTTACAGTCTACAGGTAGGCAGAAAACGGATACAACCTACAGGTAGGCGGATAACCCCTACAGCCTACAGGTATGCAGATGATGGCTACAACACACAGGCTGACATATGATATCAGTTACTGCCTACAGGTAGTAGGAGCTACTCACTTTCTTGAATAACTTCAGGATTACGAAGCATGGCCTTCTGGGCTGCTGGCAAGATCTGATCCTTAAACTCTGCATGTGAGCAGTGGCGTAGTAGTTCTGCACTGCTCTCCTACAGACATACACAACAGAAACAGTATCAACAGTTAGACAAAAGCAGAATTACTGTCAGACAGATCTACGCATGACTTGCTGTTTCAGATACACACACAACAGAAACAGTATCAACAGTTAGACAACAGCAGAATTACTGTCAGACAGATCTACACATGACTTGCTGTTTCAGATACACACAACAGAAACAGTATCAGCCATAAGACTATAGCTATCTAACTGACAACAGCAGAATTACTGTCAGAGAGCTTTATGCTGTCACACATAGCAGAGAAGAGAAAGGGGGCACCACTTTACACCCGTATCAGTTTTTTTAAACAAACGATGTGTAGGATAGCAGTTATGTCCCAGAGTTTAGAGCTATCAATTCACCACAATAGTTTACTTGCTCGCACAGCATTGTCACGTGACCCCAGTCAATGGGGTCAAACCTCAGGGTCTCTCACAAACCACGACAGTCTAAGTTGATGTTCCCGGGTCTGTACTTGTTTGTCATGTGGTATCCAATTACAGGTTGAATCAACCTTGAAGACAAAGCCATTTTTAAAATGTGCCCACCTGACAAGTGTGACTGCTAAAGATTGGGATCAAATGTCAACAATCTGCCACATGAAGACTTACCAAGATGGCCCTAGGAGGGGCAGTACGGCTGGCAAGGACCTGTTTGATGTACACATCCAAAAATGCGCCCTGAAAATGCACAGAGATACACATGGTTAGTTCTTTCTGTGTCAGAAAGTTCACTCACACATAAACATGTACAGGAGTTCAATCTCCCACACAATCCATGGTTAATTCTGTCCATGTTATACATACACACACAATACACGTGACACAACAATTTAATCTCAGTATACATAAACATTTGTGCCAAGATGGGCACAGGATACAAGTGACTCATTGAGTATGAAAGTACATGAGGCGGGAGAGCTGGATGACATGGAGTTTTTCTTTCAGGCAGACCGTGATGAGAGCGACGTTCTGCAAAGGACCTGCTACATGATGATGATAATACATAAACACAACTCCTGTTTGCATTTATCCGCTATCACATACAAATGTTTCCCAAAATGTGTGAGACATCAAAACACTGATGTGAACACTTGCAGTGTGAGTTTGTTTAGTGGGAATCATAACCTTTGACCTATTACAGTAGTGGAGGTGTATTGATGGAAGCACTAGCACATAAAACCTGCCATCTTTCTCTGTCTTCCGCTTGATGAATAAATGTATGATAACTCAGTCCTGTCCATTTCTTGATGTTGTCATTCCAGATTCTTCTTTGCCCTCCTCTTCTTTGACTAACCCCAAATATTCTTAGAAGTACAGTCTTTGCAATCGAATCTTGTCTCACCACGTGTCCAAACCAAGCTAGCTTGCGACGTTTCACCACTGCCAAGAGAGGCTCCTGACGTCCCACAAATTTGTATATTTTGTCTCTGACATTTTTATTAGTTTCGTGTTCTAAATAACTAATTTGTAAAATGCGTCTGTAGCATTTAATTTGAAAACCTGAATCCTCCTTTCCATTTCCACAGTCAGAGTCCAACTCTCACATCCATATAAGAAAATAGACAATACCAGTGATTACATGAAATATTGACCTTGACTGCGATGCTGATTTTGCTCTTCCAACATAGTATTCAGCTAAGACATTGCGGCTGTTGCCATATCAAGTTTTGTCTTGATCTCTTTGGTACAGCTGCCACCATTGCATATGTGGGAGCCAAGATATTTAAAGGTTTCAACTTCTAGTTTGTTTCCTTTGTATCTGTATGTTGGTACGTACTTGATAATTGCGACTATTTACTAGAATATGGCTTTTCTCAGCATGAATTTCCATGCCATTATTACGAGCCTATAATTTTGAAGTCAGTTCTTGGTGTTCTGTTCTGCAACCAGCCATGAAATCTATGCCGTCTGCAAAATGTAAATTACAGTTTTCTTTTGCCAATAAATATAGATAGATGTTTCATGATTTGTTAGTGTTTCTCTGATTATGTGTTCTAAATACAAATTGAAAAGGACAGGGGATAGTATGCAACCTTATCTCACTTCCACACTGGTCTTGAAAAATCTGCATCATTCTGAATGAGTACTGCACTGCTTGCATCTTTTTCAAGTGCTTCAAACGTGTCTATGATGTTCTTATCAAAGTTGATTTTTCTCATTATTTGTCACTCCAGTCTAGAAAACTACCAGAATTGCAAACACTGCTGACACAACTCAGCGTTCAGCGAAGAGTCGTAATGCAGTGGATACCGTCTCATTGTGGAGTGCCTGGAAATGAGAAAGCTGATCAACTGGCAGGGGAAGGTGCGACAAAAGAGCAGCCGGATGTACCAGTCACATACCACTAAAAGAAAAGAATCATTAAATCGATCAGGAAACCACCAGCCCCAGATGACTATTTTATTATGGACAGACCAGAACAAGTCATTATCCTCCGCCTCAGAACAGGGCACAACCGATTACGTAACCACATGTACACAAAATTCAAGATAGGTGTATCAGCCATGTGCACCTGTGGAAATGTGCCCCAGACAGCAGAGCCTGTACTCCAGGACTGCACTGATTTTGACACATTAAGGCAAATCTTTTGGCCAGAAAGAACAACAGTGGAACGTAAACTCTATGGACCACTGAATGAACAACTAACAATGACAGTGAAATTTATACAAGAGACAAAACTGCTGATATAGATAACTTATTTCAGGCGAACGAAAGAAGAAGAAGAAGATTATTTGCCAGAGCTCAGCATGCCACACACAGTCAAATGCCTTCATGAAGTGGAAGTTATGGAACAGGTAGGGCTGATGTTGTAAGTGTTTTTCTATCATTGTTCTAATGTTGAAAATGGTTCTGTGGTTCAGGAAACCCACCTGCTCTTCATCTAGTTTTTCTTCATATTTTACTTTCAGTCTGTTAAGCAGTATCTTCGGCATTATTTTGCTTGTGTGTTTGATAAGACAAATAGTTCTATAATTGTTGCAGCTTTTCAGATTTCTTTTCTTCGGCAGTGGTATCACCAACGATTGTGTCCATTTAGTAGGCTACTTCTTTGTGACCCAAATTCTCTGGCATACTTCTGTCATCACTTTATTTATGGGTTCTCCACCGTATTTCAAAAGTTCAGCTGGGACATTGTCCACACCTGGCGATTTACCTTTTTTAGTGTGCGTATCGTCTCAAGTTCTTCTCTTATTATTTCAGCGTTGCCAACTTCTCTATTTTCCCATACAATTGTGTCTGGGACTGTGGTGTCAGGGTCTGCTCCTTGATTATATAAGTCATTATAATATTCCGTCAATCTCTCTAATATTGCTGTTTTTTTCATTAAGGACTTGACCGTTCTTCTACAATGGGTATCTTGGGTTTTCGTGGTTTGGTTAGTCATTTTATTGTCTCATATGCTGCCTTGGTGGGAAACAAACATTCGTTGACTGGGTGTACTATCTTAAAAACATGTACACACCACATATCTACAGAAACATGTATACATCACACATCTACAAAAACATGTACATACCACACACCTACAGAAACCATACATTGACAGAAACATGTACAAACCACAAAACATAACACGTACTTCACCCCCATATGTATAGAACTATACACACCACACATCTACAGAAACATGTACAAACCATAAAACATAACACGTAACCCACACCCATGTGTACAGTACTGTACACACCCCACATTTACTGAAACATGTACACACCACACATCTGAAGAAACTTATACACATGTGTACACACACTTCTACAGAACCAGGTACACACCACACAGCATGACTCCTACCTTGTATTTTTGGATCAGTTCCATCTGTTTGCCAGCAGCCAGGTACTTTAACACAAAGCCAGTGAGAGGCAAACTGAGTGTGCTCTGCTCCAGCTGGGAGACCAGCTCAAGATACTTTTCTACACTGCCAGGCACCTACAAGCAGAAACAGACTAGGATAACTACCAACCCAACATGTAGCAACTACCCAACAACAACTAGTAACTTGTTGCGTGCTGATTTGGAAGAGTGTAATACTGTGTGAAGGGACAGAGTGGTATGATAGTACCTTCCGGGAGTTCAGGGGGAACAGTGTCAACATTGGTCCGAGTAGTGAATGTTGACCAGTGAGAAGTGTAATGTCACGAGAAAGTAGGCGCGTGGGTTCACAGTGGGGACTGACAAGCATGGCTAACAAGACCCACAGAGAAAGTGTGAATTACGTGATTCTCATGTAATATCAGCCACCCACATAAACGAGATTCTTGAGAACGCCCACATAAGCGTGAGCCTCGAGAACGCCCACATAAGCGTGAGCCTTGAGAACGCCCACACGAGCGTGCCACTCGTGTAACATCAGCCGCCCACATGGTTTCCGCAGGGATATATTGGGGCTGCGTAGACAGTCCGAGTCAGTGAGCCGTAGCCAAAGAGCTGAAGCAGTGGGGATGTACAGGTGTAGTACACACCCAGCATGAGAGTGCTGTACGTCAGAGAGAGGACCAAGTCACAGTCAGTATCTCTCAAATGAGACAGACAGAGTACCGTACAACTATCAGGCATCAAGGTCTGAGTAAGGGTTGTGATTACGGTACGTGCCGAAGGTATAGTCCCGCTGGCGAAATAAGTCCAAAGGGGCTGGATGCTCCAATAGTGACTGTTCTAGGTGACTGCGCAAGAAGAGGTAGGATCACCATGGACACAGAACAGTAGGGATGCCGACAAAAGCTGTGTGCTAGAGAGGACTTGTGTTAGAAGTCCTGTCGGTCATCGGAGTCCAACAACCTGACGTGCTGTGTACAACGGGCAAGGGAAGTCCATTTCTAGTCAGCCGTGGTTGTCTGCTGAAGTAATATCAAGGTCCAGTGGATAGGTGAGTTCGTCTTGTTCGGCTGCACAGCGACCCCAGAGTTGTGGGAAGCTGCAGTGGTCAGGGAGAGGACGCTACAAGTTGGAAGAGAGTGAGGACTAAATAGACTAGGTGCGAATGCCAATAAGAATCAATGTCTACATCTCTAAGTATGCTGTCTTGTTGATGTGAGGGCTTGTGTATACCCTCTTGGGTTCTGTCGAATAAATCCAGTGTATGACGGAACTACTGTCGTTGAGTCCTGCTTCGAGAGTGTGGGAGCGAAAGTTATATCTATAGACACTTGGAAGTGTGCTGATTAGTGTGTAACCCAGATAGCACACAACAACAACTAGTAACTATCGAGCAACAACAACTAGTAACTATCGAGCAACAACAACTAGTAACTATCAAGCAACAACAACTAGTAACTATCGAGCAACAACAACTAGTAACTATCGAGCAGCTATAACTAGTAACTATCGAGCAACAATAACAAGTAACTACCAAACAACATCTAGCAACTACCCAGCAACAACTAGTAACTAGCCAACAACAACTAGTAACTACCCAGACAACATCAAAACTTCTTAGCTCCCCTTGGAAATTTATCTACATCTAGCAACCACCCAATAGCACCAAACAAACATCTAGCCACCACCAGCATCAAGCTAACATCTAGCCGCCACCATCATCAAACTAACATCTAGCCACCACCAGCATCAAACTAACATCTAGCCACCACCAGCACCAAACTAACATCTAGCCACCACCATCACCAAGCTAACATCTAGCCACCACCAGCATCAAACTAACATCTAGCCACAACCAACACCAAACTAACATCTAGCCACCACTAGCACCAAACTAACATCTTGCCACCACCAGCACCAAACTAACATCTTGCCACCACCATCATCAAGCTACATGGAGTTTAAATTTATTAGAATGAGACAATTTTCAATCAACGGCAGCCTTTCCTTCGCTCTGTAAATAATCGATTACAGCGGCCATTTTTGAGAATTGGATTCAAACATGATCAGTTTCATTCAGCGGGAATTCCTGTAGTAAGCGATGTTGAGTTTACACCCATATATGGAAAGTGTCCGGGCTTTTATACTGGTCAGTGAATCGGCAATGAATGGAATCGAAGGTACGAGTTTTCATGTTATTTTCCGTGCTGACTAAAAATAATTCTTTGACGAAACTTTTTTCATACTGAAAATGAACAGTTCAACTTAAACATGAACATGTATATTTTCGCAATTTATTTTTAGATTCCACTTTTCAAAATATTCGAGTTAACCAAATTTGACTCATCACGATTTTTTTTACACAAAGATAAAGAAAGAAAATGGTTGGGACTAAGCTGGTTATGTCGACTTTAGCTAAATTTATCTTATCAGAGTTTCACTTTAGGGAACTGGACTAAAGCAACCACCCAACATCTAACATCACCCAATATCTAGCAACCACCCAACAACATCTAACATCACCCAATATCTAGCAACCACCCAACAACATCTAACATCACCCAATGTCTAGCAACCACCCAACAACATCCAGCAACCACCAGGAACAATGTAACAACAACAAAAACAGAGAGGACTGCTGACCTCTCTCCAGACTCTGCAGAGCTTGCGGTAACCTGCCTGGGTGATGACCTCATTCCTGGCAGCCACAGTTCCATACACCAGCACTGCCTGCAGACCAACCTGAGGGCAAAGCACAGTACTTTACATACGTAATGTAACACTTCTAGTCATATGCCCACATGTGATCTAGTCATGTGCCCATGTCTGGTCTAGTCATGTGTCCATGTCTGGTCTAGTAGTACATGTCTATGTCTAGCCATGTGGGTACAAAGAGTGGCTTCAAGTGTGGGTACAGAGAGTGGCTTCAAGTGTGAGTACAAAGAGTGGCTTCAAGTGTGAGTACAGAGAGTAGCTTCAAGTTTGGGTACAGAGAGAGTAGCTTCAAGTGAGAGTAAAGAAAGAGAGTAGCTTCAAGTGTGGGTACAAAGAGTGGCTTCAAGTGAGAGTAAAGAGAGAGAGAGTAGCTTCATGTGTGGGTACAAAGAGTAGCTTCAAGTGAGAGTAAAGAGAGAGAGTAGCTTCCAGTGAGGGTACAAAGAGAGTAACTTCAAGTGTGGGTACAGAGAGTAGTTTTAAGTGTGGGTACACAGAGCAGCTAACAGTGTGGGTAGAGAGAGTACCAATTAGTAAATGTAGACAGAGAAGCTATAAGTTAAGAAAGCTGCCGAGAGATCGCGAAAATGCAACAGACAACTAAGACAAGCTGTTGATATGCTAGAAGACCAGGCAGCAGTACTCACCAACTGTTGAAGCAACGGCTGTGGGAGACCATTGGCTGCAGCCAAGGCTTGAGACACTACCACGCAGGTCCAGGATAAAGCCTGCAGTGCATCACCGGCAGAGCTACGGCTGCAACAAAAGTCCTGCACTTGTAACACACAATACTCACTTCAACTGTCGGTAACCTAGTAAGCTCTACACTGATACAATCACATAGTAGTCACAGAGATATGAACACACACAGAGACATAACCTCACAGACACATGCAGGACTGGATCTCCGTGGGGTGGTTTGACTTCACAACGAACACACAGGTAATCTCAATTCCACAACATATTAGGGTCAAGGTGTCTGGGTACTCTGATCTTCACTAGCCAACAGTACAACTTCATGGATATCATGCAACAATGTTTTTTTATACACTGTCTTCTGCTTCATTTCCTCTTTTATCGCTTCAGGTGTTAAGAGAGAGAGATAAAGTTGTGCTTTATGTTAGGCTTCTTGCTGTTGTAGAGTTTCTCTCTTTCCATCTTTTCTTAGTCTAGCTTGTGCTCCATGTCCTTCTCCTCTTTCATGGTAAGCCTCTATGGTTCGGCGCCACAAAGCATTCTCTCTAAGTGGGTAAACCATTTACTAATTTGTTGTCTTTGTATGTAATCTAGAATCAGTTCTGTGCCGACTTTTCTCTTACGTCCTCATTCCTGATTGTATAAGGTGAATGTATCAGGACTGTATGCACTCCTGCAGACCTTCTCAGACATCTTATATCCATGGTTAGAAATTTTCTTTTCTGGTTTGTTGTGAATGACCATGTCTGGCACTGGTAGGATATGGTGGGAATGATTATGCTTTGCATAAGATGTTTCTCTGTGCTGATTGGGACTGTCTTGTGTTGTAAAGAAGGCATTAGCTGTCCCAAAACTTGGTTTGCTTTATGCATCAGATGTTAATTTCTTCCTCTAATTTACCATCTTTGGTGAATGCTCTTCTAAGATATTTAAACGATGATGCATGTTTATACTGAAAAGACAGAAGTCATGAGCATAAGTAGAGAGCAACAGACCATCGACATAAAGATTCTAGATCACAGCCTAAAACAAGTGCAAGAATTTAAATACTTGGGAAGTATCTTTACATCCAATGGTAAAATAGACAGAGAGATCGAAGCAAGAATCCAACTAGCCAACAATGTCGCATACCAGCTTGCCCCAATTTTAAAACACCCTGCTGTCCCAGCTGAGATAAAAAAACAAATTATAAATACAATCTTTATACCGACATTAGGTTATCAATGTCAGACTTGGACATTAACAAAAGAACACGAGAGAAGACTAACCACCTGTGAAATGAGATGTTTGAGAATGGCTGCGAATAAAACCAGAAGAGATCGAGTGAGAAACGATGTGATTACAAGAACTATCGGAACCATACCCATCGTTAAATTTATTGAGAAGCAAAGAATGAAATGGTTTGGTCACCTAATGAGAATGGAACCAACGATGCCAGCATCAAGAGCATACAACATGAAAATCGAAACACCAAGAGGCAGGGGAAGAGCAAGAAGAAGATGGATTGAAGGAGTCACGGACAACTTGAGACTTCATAACATCACGGCATATGAAGCGACTGAGCGCGCCCTGGCTCGGTTGCCGATCATCTGATAGACTGCGACGCCTAGCGGCACAAGCAGATTTTGACAAAAGAAGAAAGAATGCATGTTTAATGCCTTGGCCCTCTACTGCTATATTTAGGCGCTGTTTCTGCCTTCCTATTGACATTAATTCTGTCTTGTCAATGCTGATTATCTGTTTTACATTCTTCATTCATGGCTGTGAGTAGTTGCAATTTCATGGCGGTATCGGCTATCAAGACCTGTTTTCAGCATTGAGTAATTCATTATGTTACTGATATTTTCATTCCTGTGCTTGGCATTCTTGCATATACTGTCGGTGTATGTAAACAGCAGTGGTAATAAGAAATATCCATTACTCTGTCTGCATGCTCTGTGATGTTCCCTGATTTATTCTGACTATGCTTCTAAAATCTCCATATAAACTTTTGCAGACTATTGAGATGTTCACTCACTTCACAATGAGCCATTACTTTCCGTAATACCTGTCTATCGACTCTGTTAAGTACACTGTTACACAGGTTTTAATATGATGTACCCCTAAGAAAGATGAAGAAAGAAACGCAATCTATCAGTCACTAGCAGTACATTGACAAAAGTCTCAATGACTAGGTACACACAATTATAAATCAACTTATGTCCTACAGTTATGGATAGGATAACACCTATCATTGTCTGTTGTTATGGCAATCGCCTGCAACATAATGGTGACATTTGTCCCGATCCAGACAAATGAAATTTCACAAGCATAGGTTTGCTGCTCTGGAAAAAAATATTCTGTCAATCAAAATATAGCACATATCCTGCAACAAACTTTGCTATCAGGTAAACAGCACTACAAATGAATGTTAAAACACATCTCTAGCTTAACACTTGAGACTTGATAAACAGCACTACAACTGAATGTTAAAACACATCTCTAGCTTAACACTTGAGACTTGACAAACAGCACTACAACTGAATGTTAAAACACATCTACAGCTTAACACTTGAGACTTGAAAACAGCACTACAACTGAATGTTAAAACACATCTACAGCTTAACACTTGAGACTTGACAAACAGCACTACAACTGAATGTTAAAACACATCTCTAGCTCAATACTTGTCATAATAAACAGCACTGCAATCGAAGGTTAACACACATCTCTAACTTAACACTTGAGTCATAACAATGTAATGATAATAAACTATACATATTCATTAAGTGGTACCTGTACGTAGCGGAGGAAATAACTGATGTGTTAGAATCACTAATGTGGAGTTTTGGAAGAAAATCAAGCAAATTCTAGTGAATCAAGAAGTCAAGAAAAAATGCTGACATAGGATAGGACACACATTCAGAAAATCTGAGAATATAAATAGAACGACGTTGCATTGGAACACACAGGTTTGAGGAATAAAGGCACACCCCCCCCGCCCCACAAAAAGGAGGGAGCTAGAGAGTGAGTGAAGTAATAAGGATAGCAAGGACCTAGGGTGAGCTGTATATGATATTAAAGCATAGAATGACCTGGCACGAGTTGGGTTGAGGGCAGACAAAAGACTAACAGTAACGGTGCGTAGTAAATGTATGTCAACGCAACAAAACTAGAGAGGTACAACAAGCACAACACTATTATCTTGTGTAGGATATCACCTTGGATTCACAAGACTCTTCTGAGTTTTGGCAGTATTCTCCAGTGCTGCCAGCAGAGCTTTCACAGATGCCTCAAAGTGGACCTTGCTGATGCTGGAGACTAAGTTTAGTGCAGCCCGGCGTGATGGTCCATCTCTGTAGAGGCCAATAGCCTGGGACAGGTAGCGGAAGATTCCCTTCACCGCGCCTTCTGGGATAGCTGAAATGTCAGGCCAAAACATGTATACATGTCACAAACTATCATTATCTGTACAATCTTTTTGAGATGACATAAGGTGGATCTGGCACTGACACACACACCTCAGATAAAGGTAAACGTACAAACTTCACATCTTTAACAGAGAATCCACCAATCTTATCTCTCTAAAAGAGATTCCACTAATCATCTTTCTGACATAGATTCCACCAATCTCATCTTTTTGACAGAGAATCCATCGATCTTATCTCTCTTAACAGATATCTGCAAATCTCTGAAAGAGAATCCACCAATCCCACTTTTTCAACAGAGAAACCTCCAATCACCTCCCTAACAGAGAATCCACTGATTTTAACTCTTATCAGAGAATCCACCAATCTAGCCTTTCTAACAGACAATCCACCAACCCCACCTCTCTTAACACAGAATCTGACAATCACATCTCTCAAACAGAGAATCCACCAATTTCTCTCTCTCTCTCTAAGAACTAATCTCACCTCTCTCAGAGATTCCACTAATTTCATCTCTCTAACAGAGAATCCACCCATCTGTGTATCAACCAATCCCTCCTCTCTAACAGAGAAAACACAACTGTGTGAGATAATGAGATCCGACAGACCGTGAGACAATGACATCTGATAGACTGAGAGAATGTCACCAAACAGACTGTTAGCCCTACCTCCGTTGTTGACGTAATCAGTGACTGATGCAACAGCCTTTGTTCTCTCCTTGACACTGGACACTGAAACCTTCAGGGCGTACCTCTTCAAGATGTCAGAGCTCTGTAAGAAACACATGCCCATGTCCACAGATCAGCATCATGCAACAACAGTAACGCAACACTAGAGTAAAACACACTGACTACAATCATCACCACAACTAGGCAGCTGCTGTAGTCCAGTGGCCAGCATGTCCAACCAGATGTCCAGTATGTCCAACCAGGTGTCCAGTTGCCAACATGTCCAGAATGTCCAACCAGGTGTCCAGTGGCCAGCATGTCTAACCAGGTGTCCAGTGGCCAGCATGTCCAACCAGGTGTCCAACCAGGTATCCAGTTGCCAACATGTCCAACCAGGTGTCCAGTGGCCAGCATGTCCAACCAGGTGTCCAGTGGCCAGCATGTCCAACCAGGTGTCCAGCATGTCCAACCAGGTTTCCAGTGGCCAGCATGTCCAACCAGGTGTCCAGTATGTCTAACCTGGTGCCCAGTGGCCAGCATGTCCAACCAGGTGTCCAGTGGCCAGCATGTCCAACCAGGTGTCCAGTGGCCAGCATGTCCAACCAGGTGTCCAGTATGTCCAACCAGGTGTCCAGTATGTCCAACCAGGTATCCAGCATGTCTAACCAGGTGGCCAGCATGTCCAACCAGGTGTCCAGTATGTCCAACCAGGTGTCCAATGGCCATATATATATATATATATATATATATATATATATATATATATATATATATATATATATATATGGCCAAAAGCATATATATGCTTCTGGAAATGACTGGGAGGTATACATAAATAAATGTCAGGATTCACATTTCCTGTCACCAGTCACTGTACACGAATAAAATGGCTTGGATCTCATGGTGTTTATACATTACTGTGAACCTACTATGTAATGGTTATTCACGTTATTGCTGCTATGATTAAGGGATGTGTGCGCGTATATTTTCACAAATGCATTTATAAAACAAATGCTTTAACTACTACCTCTTAACTGAGCTGTTCGTTAGTTAGTTAGTTAGTTAGTTAGTTAGTTGGGTTATCATCATTGCACTCCGGACATGTCCATAGGTGCTCAGATCCTCCCCTCAGTATGAATCCCAACGTCCGATGGCTAATAGTACCAGTTCTATGTTGATTAACAAGTCTTCTGACGTGTCCGGTGTGCGTCTCGTTTTTTGCTGTGCCGATCTTAATTCCCAAGTCTGCCATTCTGGCGAGTGATGTGGGTTCACTGCCACCAAAGTCCTCTATCCTTCCCATTTCTCTGAGGGCATTGATAATATCAGCATGATCCATAGGCCGACCGTCGGTAGTGATAGCGGATCCAGCCAACCTGTCAGCTCTTTCATTTCCATCGACGCCTGCGTGTCCCGGAACAAAAATAAAGGTGACTCCTCGCACAGTGGACTTCTGAATTGATTCAAGCCATTGTCTTCGCACTGAACCTGCCTGAACCCTCCGGATCATACTCATTGAATCACTGAGTATACATATGCGGGTGTATTTTTGTGTTTCAAGCCAGGCAAACGCTTGCGTCACTGCCATCACCTCCATCGTCATGCTGCTGGTTGTCATGGAGAAGGCGCCGTTGGCTTCTTTGACTGTTCTGCCCGCTGAGCGTGCTGTAAATGCCCATGCGCTTCTTCTTTGGCGTATAACTGATCCGTCTGTATAGATTAGTGCATCTGCTTCATCTGAATTTTCACCGATGAGAGCGTTGACCTCTGCATTAACAGCAACAGGATTATCTTCTCTACCTCGCCTGTTGAGTGTGACAATACAGGAAAATGTACAAATAAACGCCTGAGGCACAGGTATCCATTCTGCACCAGGTATGATGTCGGTTAGGCTGCATATTTGCCTAATAACATCTTCTGCCCGACCTAGCCACGATTTTCCCCTCTTCAGTCTGTCGCCCTTTTCACTAAAAAGCGCTTGATGCAGTGGGTGTTTCTTATCAGCACATATTTTGAGGTATGCCCGAGCCCTCCGCATTCTGATCCTTTGGTTCATTGTTGGAAAGTCAAGTAGATACCTCATTGCTCCACAAGATGTGTCTCTTGTACATCCCAAAATAATACGCATGGCTTCATTTTGCACCTTCTCGAGTCGTTCAATCTGGGTAGCACTGACAGTGAGGATGGCCAGAGCGTATTCAATGGGGGAAAGGACCAGACCGTAGAATAGAAGCACCAGCAGTCTTTGCTCGATATTGGAAGCAGCCATAATCCTCATTGCAGATAGACCTTTGCGTGCTTTTGTTATCGCATGGTCAACGTGTTCCCTGAATGACAAGCTGCGATCGAACCTCACCCCGAGAAACGTCATAACGTTGGTTCTGATCAATACATTATCACGCATTTTCACTTCTGGTAAGTCCGACTTGACAATGTGATTGTTCAAAGAGAACCATGACACTGATGCCTTCGAGGGATTGACATAGGCATTGGAACCATCACACCAGGCGGCTGTTCACTGCATAGGAATATGTTCATGTTCACAGTATACCTGATGTTTGGGGAATATTCCAAGTGCTTATGATACAGGTTCATGTCTTGACTCCATACATATGGGTTAGACCTGAGTAAACACTTCTTGATACAGTAGAAGAAACTATGTTGGGTGTAAAAGCTTATATGTAACTTTTTATTCATGTGGAATGGAGTGATTCTTGTGCTCATTCTTAGAGTGTTGCTTACAATGCTTTATTATTCCTAACTCTGATGAAAGGCATAATATGTGAGGATGACTTCAAAGTGATGGCATGAGAGAAATATATATTTTACAGAAATAAGTAATAGCTGAGATATGAAGTATTAAAATATTACATTAGTACTATAGGACGAACGGTGGATTGCACAAATGTTGAGCATATTTAGCTTTTACTCAGGGGAACTCTTTTTAAAGGCCTGTTCATGAGGGAACCTGTCATTGAGCTGATACTCTGTACACATTAAGGTATACCTCTTGAGATTTTGGAGTTAAAAATATATACAAAGTATGTCAGGATCATTGTCGGCGCTACAGGGATAGTGCATTGCACTGAGATTTTTCGGACTCAGGCTTGAGTTAGAAGTAGAACGGAGCACTTATGGGTTATTACCCTTGTGCCATGATAATGATTTGTTGTTTATACATGTTTTAAACCTAAATCTTGAGATTCCAGTCTGTCAGGAGAAAAGTGGAATAGTCTGTCAAAATTGGTTAAGGTTCTATCTTGTGATGACGGTCTAAATATGTTTGTTAACCCAGATAAAAATATGAACACAGGTCAGGTTTTGGTCAGATAGGTGACTGAGCTACTGTATAACAGTAGCCCGTCCCACCTGTCTTCTGTTAATGCTGAATGTTGAGCAGCATATACCAAACATGACATCCCATACTGTCATAGGCTTTGGGTGGAGGAGCGCACTGGGAAGGATATTAGCCTTATACTAGTAAAAGGACGTGCAATCTGAAAACTGCATGTTATCACAGGCGGACAGATATAGCATTGCTCTGCTGATCCGGCAGCTTCTGCAGCCTGCTTTGTTCCAAACATTCTGGTGTAACCTTTCCTCTGGAGTACACAAGGCAGGTCGAGACAGGGATCATAATGCATGGGCAAAATATGGTCTCTATAATACTACTCAGACTTTGTGCTATGGAGAAGATGAACTTCTTCCCTGGCCGTAACTGGTCTCGGAAACAAATCGAGAGGCATCAGTTACAGCTTATAAGTTCTTGTTAACTGACAGAGACACTTCTTCTGAAACATGCCTTTTGAGATCAGGAGAGTGGTATATGAATAGCAAACTATCGCTGGACCAAGAAATTAACATCAGGATGGGTAAGGCATAAACAATAATGAGCAGATTAACAAAAAGAGTTTGGGAGAACAGACAGCTCATGATTAAAACAAAAACTTGCATATATCAGGCTTGTGTTCTCAGCAGTTTTGAGGCAGTGAAACAAACATATTTGCACCAGGAGAAATGGCTAAACAGCTTTCACATGTGATGCATGAAAAGAATACTTGGCATCAAATGGCAAGACAAGATCACAAACACTCAGGTATTGGAAAGAGCTGGTGTTACAACAGTCTTCTCAATGCTCAGTCTCCAAGGCTCAGGTGGCTGGGTCACACCTGGAGAATGCAGGATGGCAGAGTCCCTGAGGCCCTCTTTAGTGAATTAAAGACGGGTATAAGATGTTGGGGCCAGCCTCTACCACGATATAAAGATGTCTGCAAGTGAGACATGAATGATATAGGTACTGAGGTGGACTTGTGGGAACAAAATGACACTGACTGTCTTGTGTGGAAGGGGGCATATCAGGAAGGGAATGAGAATTAAGGAAGAAATTATTACAGAACACAACGGCTATAATTGTGGAAAACTTTTCTTAACGCAGGTGGGTCTTATTAGTCCCACTCATCATCGCCATAGGCAGTGAGTCTCATGCCTCCTCATAGCCCAGTATAACACTATCATCCGGAAAGATGGAAAGTTGCCAATCAAATAAGACGCAGTAATTCATTTACTGTAATCCTTCTGGGACAAAGAACTGATATTACTGGTGTGTGTTAAACTCACGTCGGAGGTGTGATCACCCACACCAGTCGTAAAGGCACTAGATGATGATGAAGGCAGAGGCGAGTGCAAAAGGTGGTGCTTTAAAATGGGGGATGAGTGTTTATCCGGGAGATTAGCGGGAGATAGCGGCTTCATGGGTATTGCAAGACCTAAGCGTCACTAGACGCTGAGCTGAAGGTTAGTCCATGCCCAGCCTCTGTAAGAGAGTTCGGACGTGCCTGACTTTTAGTAGTAATCATGCGTACTATTTTTTTCTGTTTCAAGCTTAGATTGTTCATTAGAATTTGGTGTATCATAAGGAATGCTCCAGTTGAGTGTATTTAAGGGGGACAAGGTGTTGAAAGCCCAACACTTTATATTATCCTACAGCGAGGACATGATCGTTCCTTGTCGGGTTCTGACTCGAGACTTGGTGTGCCGGCGGCAGGGTCTCTAGTCAGTTCAGGGGTAGGATTTCATAGACTGCTTGTTGTGGTGGTATAGTGCCGTTGGTCAGCCTCTAGTCATTATCTATAGGTTATTAGTGACCCAAAGCGTGGGCACATAACCGAGGCGTTTATAAAAGGCTGCTGGCGACCCGAGGAGTAGACCAGTAGGCCGAAGGTGTTTATGTTGTGGACTCAGGTCAAGTCGAGGCTAGGTGTAGCCATTTAAGGTGATGCCACCTTGGAAGTATACCAATGGGTATCTAGAGAGTATTAGATGGACAGTAGTTCTGTAATCACCATTTCATCTTTGTCACACTGTGTTCATCAATAAAGAGACTGACGCACAGTTATAGAGATGCCTTTTAATGTATTGTTGTTGACATTGTTACAAGTGCTGGTGGAACGATGTAACTATGTGTAACTCTGATCTAAGCACTCTCCGGTAGGAAACTTAATTAACGTCGAACAGTCGACTGGGGAACTTCCGTGTGTGTATTTGTAATATATATATATATATATATATATATATATATATATAAGTGAAGCATAATCATTTTACCCCTAGACACTAGATATGCTGTCCACACCCCCAGACTGCATACAACAATTATCCAGACTGTTAATTTGTTATAGGCATGAAGATGGTATCTACTTGCTGGCTGTATTAACTCTCTGAGGCCCGAGCAAAGCTGTTTGTGGTAAATGAGAAGTTCCGATATTCCCAACAACACTGTGTAGATCGTGTGTCCCATATATACTGATTCACATACAGCTCCATATTTGTTTCTAATGTTTGGAAATACCATTAAAGTACTTAGGGAAGTTAGTCATTTCTTTGTATACAAGTCTTTGTTCGCAAACATTTGGGCACTAATTGATCCGATTCATTGCTAGCATCGATTTTAGACAGAGCTTTTTCTCACTTTATGTTCAACTGGTCATGGATACCAATGTTCTGAACATAAGCATAGGCTGAAGTTTAAAAAATATTTTTACAGACCAATCGGTACTTGGTGGGTAATGTGGTCAGCATTACGCCAGCCGTCTTTACTTCCCCAGGACAGCCATCCTGGTACCCATTTGAGGCTGGGTCGACCTGCGACGTCCCATACCATGATAAAAATCCACGCAGCTCGCAGTGGGTTTTGATCGCGGTACGTTGGATTACGAGTAGAACTCGCAATGCCTTAGCCACGGACGCCGCATATTATATAGTGGGTTATATAAATTGTGGGTTAGTCTTTATCTAGATATTTCCAAGGTGTCCACATTTTCTATTCTAGTGGGTCCCAACTACCATTTGATTTTCACAACAAGAATTGCCGTCTGCTTGTATAATATCCTGTGACAAACCCCTTAGATAAAATTATAGTTGAGCCACATCAGCAGTCTCTTGGCACTCCTGAACTAGGGAGTAATGGACACTGTATCAGTCTAGGGAGTAATGGACACTGTATCAGTCTAGGGAGTAATGGACAATGTATCAGTCTAGGGAGTAATGGACACTGTATCAGTCTAGGGAGTAATGGACACCGTATCAGTTTATCTCTTTCCTAAAAAGACTATCTTTTACAACAGACTACAGAGAGATTAACTTCAAAATATCAAATTAACAATATGAAGTCAAGAGAGAAGATACTTTAGATACAAATAAATACATCAAATTCAAATCAAAACAAAAACACTCCAGACTTGTAACTAACTAAGTAAGTAACTACTAACTCAAACTCTGCACCAGCCAGAACAACATATGCTCAGCTATGAGTAAGCTAGATTACAAATAATTGTGTGCGTTGCAAGTGATCATTAATTAATGTAGCGACTACAGTTTTGACAATTTGCGGTCTTTTTGGCAATTTCCGTTACCATGGAAACCGTTTGAAACTTGTTTGGGAAATGTCGGCTAGGATTTCGGGATAGGTCCTAATCTCTCATGAAATTTTGCGATTGGTGTGATTTTCACCAGCTATAAATAGCTGAAAACGGCGGGAATGAACCCGGTTAACAGCGCATGTCTATAACAGCCGGACGTCCTGTTTTTCTGTTACATCAGTTTGATTGAAAAAAGCGGTAAGTATAATTTTTATAATTTTTGTATTCAAGGTTGGCTTTAGGCCTTAAAACATTACCAGACATGGTAATGCTAGTTATAATTGAATTCTCCGTCCAATTTTACATTTGTATATACAATTTCTTTCCTATGTATGGCTATTTCAATTTACAGTGACATTTTTCAGGCAATCGCTATTATGTGGCTGTGTCTGAGAAAAATTGTCTGCCATCTTGTCCAATGAAAAGAAAGTCAAAACAAAAGTGCGCAGTTTGGTTGCGCAGAGAAAACTTCTTGTTTCTGAGATGCAAGTTTTCAACAGCTGTTTTTTTTCATCTCATCTCCACAAAAACCTACATATCTCAGCTCAGAAATGATATACAAGCCTAAATAAGGTACCGTTGGAAAGAGATTCTTTACAGCTATCTAACTGTGCTGGTTTTATTGGTGTAGAGGGCATTTTAAAAATTTGACTAAAGTATCTAAATTAATGCCACACAAAACAAACATAAAATGAACCAAATGTAAACCATACAAAAAAAAAGTAAATTCCGCATCCTCAAATCAATTATGAAATAATAAGTAAAAAGTTAAGCTGTAAAATGAAATATCAGACATACACTTTACACCGGAAAACGAATAATATGTAAAATTAAACAGCTACAGTACAGTGTTAGGTAGATAAAGTGTTGAGGAGCAGACTACGGCTCAGCGACAGACAGACAGGACAGAGGAGACAAGAGCACGTACCGCCGTGTGGTCGGCCATGTTCCTGTAGAGACGTTGCTTGTGGTGCAATCACCACTTTCGATTTAACAAAACTGGTTTCACAGGACGAACTTTCTAGAAAAAGTTATCGGGTACCTCCCATACTATCGTCTAGTTGTTGCGGTTAAAATACAGTGATGTGTGTATCGGACGATGATTGTGTGCGTATAGACGTGAGAAAACAAAACTGGACACAGGGTGGTTAGAGACAGCTCACGTTTGCCATGTTTAAGAGACCGGAATTGACTAACTTAAACTTCACAGTTGGAGAATCTCGTTTCTGTGTCTTTCGATTTTTTATTAAACAAAGTTTTTAACGGAATCTTTTTTTCAAAAATGACCTTGGCTGCCAGGTCGACCCAGCCTTGAGTGGGTACCGGGTGCAGTCCCGGGAAGTAAAGGCGGCCAGCGTGATGCTGTCCACATTACCCATCTTGCGCCGATTTGTCTATAAAACAGAGGTCTAGCCCTGTGTGTCATACACGCCTTAAGGCGTGAAAAAGGGTCATTTACCTACCTAGCAGAATCAAAGATTATTTTGGGCATATCTTCTGTATGAAGAAGTTAAGGTGTCTTTCTCGTGTGTAGTGTTAAGGTCGTGATCCCAAGTCTGGCGCTGAAGTCGTGATCTCAAGTCTGGTGTTGAGGTAGCGTTCTCATTGTGGGGTGTTAAGGTGATGATGGTGATCTCATGTCTGGTGTTCTGGCGTTCTCATGTGGAGTGTATAGGTGGCAAATCTAGGGGGTTGAAGTGGTGATCTCAAGTCTGGTGTTGAGTTAGTGTTATCAAATATAGTGTTAAGATTGTATCGTCAAGTCTCACACCAAAAACACTGACTGTCCTTCAACTCGTACACAGCCTGAGTTCCCACGTACTGTGGGGTGTCAGTGTTTCTTGTCTATCCTGTTGGTGGCACTTTTCCGTCTTTCCAGACGATAGTGTTATATTGTGCTATGAGGAGGCATGGGACTCACAGCCCACGGCTGAGTCTACTAATTAATGGTTTCCTTTGAAGTCGGAGTGTTCCTGCCTAAGAGGCAAGAAACCAACAGTCTGCATACAAACAAGTCAAATCTTATATCACAACGTCTAGTTTGAGAATGGAGCTGGAGGCAGTCTCTACTGCCTTCCGCTTGCTTGAGAATCAACTGTACACACATGCCGTAATGATAACTGACTCACAGAGCATGCTTCGTGCAGAGGGGCAAGCATCACTTCAGAGGTCCCGGGTAGTTAGCATCCTTCGGATATTTTCTCCAGGTGATGCCGGTGTGTTGGGAAATGAGCAGGCAGATGGACTGGTTATCTCTGCACCACTTGGTGGTGAACTGAAGTATGACAAGTTAGAAACTGTGAGGGCCCTTTGGGAGCGAGTAAACAGTGCGGTGGCGCAGATAGATCATTACGGTCTAATGAGAATGGCGCTGCGAGGCGTTACCAGGGGATTTGGCCGACGTTCAACACTCAGGGGAAGGATGAGACGGATATACAATCAAACGGTTACTGGTACCATCGGAACTGGAACTCTTTGCTTGCTGCTGAAGATGGGGACTGAACACTTATGGGAGTGTCCCGACTGCTTTGATGTCGATTCTTAATTCAACATTCAACCATTCAAATCTGTAAAACGGATTTGCACGCAACACTCAGGTTCTGGAACAAATATAAATTCCAGAGGTGGGTGGCAACAATAACTTTCCGCCGGAGTTTACAGCCGGTTAACGTGAAGAAGAAGAAGAAGAAGAAGAAGAAGAAGAAGAAGAAGAAGAAGAAGAAGAAGAAGAAGAAGAAGAAGAAGAAGAAGAAGAAGAAGAAGAAGAAGAAGAAGACAGTCCGTGACTAGCGAGACTCACCCGCGACACTTAGAGCACGAGATTTCAGAACCGTTATTGAAATCAAAGGTATTTAATGTGCTCCTTCTCAAACGCCATACCCAATGTTACTTATTTACGTCCTTTTCAGGACGTAATTTTTTCTTATTTGAAGCCCCACTCTGGCTTTTGCCAGGGGCCGCAATATAGGCAGGCCATCAATATGGCCAATTGCCTGAACGCGGTTTCTGGGACCTCTCCACGGTGATCCTCATCCGCATGGTGGCACTTTGTGTCATCGGGTGTTTGTCGCTTGTGTGATGTCCTAGTGGGGTAGAAAGTCAGTCAGTTAAACGCCATACCAAATCAGAGAGAGAAGACACAAAGAGGAGACACCAGATAAGAAGAGGAAAGAAACGAACAGCTAACAACAGGGTGCAGGATGAGCGGTGGGGACCGGATGGAAGCATCAAGTCCAGAAATGGCGCAAAACTAGAATTTAGTCAAGAAAGTGACACAAATAACCCAGACCACAAATATAGGCGGAGACTGTTAGCAGACTCGGCTAGCTAGCAGCAGTCTGAAAGTGGTCAACCTTTTCATTTTTTTCTCAAAAGGACTAGGACTAGGACTAAACGCTCGGCTTCATCCTTTCCGCAATCATTTCTTCCTTCCTTGTCATTTCCTTCCCGATTTGCCTCCTCTACGCAACTGTGTCATTTTGTTCTCACCGATCTACCTCAACACCCGTATCATTCATGTCCCACTTGCCCACATTTTTATATCGTATCGGAGGTCAGCCTTGACATCTTGTCCCATCTGTAATTCACCATAGGGGATGTCCTTCGGGACTCTACCATCCTCCATTCTCTATGTGCCACAGGAGCCTTCGGAATATGAGCATTGAGACAAGGCCAGCTTCAAGAGATGGTCTTGATTGAGAAAACTGTTGTAATACCTGCTCTATGCAATACTTCGGTGTTTGTGATCTTGTCCTGCCACTTAATCCAAGTATTCTTCTTAGACATTGCATGTGAAAGCGATTTAGCCACATCTGCTGGTATCACTATCAACAAGATAGGATTTAATGGCTCAAATTGTCACCAAGACAAGACTCTATGTATAACAAAATCTCCAAGATAGTACTCTATATATCAAAAAATCTCCAAAATAGTACTCTATGTATCACAAAATCTCCAAGATAAGATTCTATATATCACAAAATCTCCAAGATAGGACTCTATATATCACAAAATCTCCAAGATAGGACTCCATGTCTCACAATATCTCCAAGATAGGACTCAGTGTAACACAATATCTCCAAGATAGGACTCAATGCCTCACAATATCTCCAAGATAGGACTCCATGTCTCACAAAATCTCCAAGATAGGACTCAGTGTAACACAATATCTCCAAGATAGGACTCCATGTCTCACAATATCTCCAAGATAGGACTCAGTGTAACACAATATCTCCAAGATAGGACTCAGTGTAACACAATATCTCCAAGATAGGACTCCATGTCTCACAAAATCTCCAAGATAGGACTCAATGCCTCACAATATCTCCAAGATAGGACTCCATGTCTCACAAAATCTCCAAGATAGGACTCAGTGTAACACAATATCTCCAAGATAGGACTCCATGTCTCACAATATCTCCAAGATAGGACTCCATGTCTCACAATATCTCCAAGATAGGACTCAGTGTAACACAATATCTCCAAGATAGGACTCCATGTCTCACAATATCTCCAAGATAGGACTCAATGCCTCACAAAATCTCCAAGATAGGACTCAATGTAACACAATATCTCCAAGATAGGACTCCATGTCTCACAATATCTCCAAGATAGGACTCAGTGTAACATAATATCTCCAAGATAGGACTCCATGTCTCACAATATCTCCAAGATAGGACTCAATGCCTCACAATATCTCCAAGATAGGACTCTATATATCACAAAATCTCCAAGATAGGACTCCAAGTCTCACAATATCTCCAAGATAGGACTCCATGTCTCACAATATCTCCAAGATAGGACTCCATGTCTGACAATATCTCCAAGATAGGACTCATTGTCTCACAATATCTCCAAGATAGGACTCCATGTCCCACAATATCTCCAAGATAGGACTCCATGTCCCACAATATCTCCAAGATAGGACTCAGTGTAACAAAATATCTCCAAGATAGGACTTCGTGTCTCAAAATATCTCCAAGATAGGACTCCATGTCCCACAATATCTCCAAGACAGGACTCAGTGTAACACAATATCTCCAAGATAGGACTCTATGTCTGACAATATCTCCAAGATAGGACTCAAGGTCCCACAATATCTCCAAGATAGGACTCCATGTCTCACAATATCTCCAAGATAGGACTCAATGTCCCATAATATCTCCAAGATAGGACTCCATGTCTCACAATATCTCCAAGATAGGACTCAATGTCTCACAATATCTCCAAGATAGGACTCTATATATCACAAAATCTCCAAGATAGGACTCCAAGTCTCACAATATCTCCAAGATAGGACTCCATGTCTCACAATATCTCCAAGATAGGACTCCATGTCTGACAATATCTCCAAGATAGGACTCATTGTCTCAAAATATCTCCAAGATAGGACTCCATGTCCCACAATATCTCCAAGACAGGACTCAGTGTAACACAATATCTCCAAGATAGGACTCTATGTCTGACAATATCTCCAAGATAGGACTCAAGGTCCCACAATATCTCCAAGATAGGACTCCATGTCTCACAATATCTCCAAGATAGGACTCAATGTCCCATAATATCTCCAAGATAGGACTCCATGTCTCACAATATCTCCAAGATAGGACTCCATGTCTCACAATATCTCCAAGATAGGACTCCGTGTCCCACAATATCTCCAAGATAGGACTCCATGTCTCACAATATCTCCAAGATAGGACTCAATGTCTCACAATATCTCCAAGATAGGACTCCATGTCCCACAATATCTCCAAGATAGGACTCCATGTCTCACAATAACTCCAAGATAGGACTCCATGTCTCACAATATCTCCAAGATAGGACTCCATGTCTCACAATATCTCCAAGATAAGACTCCATGTCTCACAATATCTCCAAGATAGGACTCAATGTCTCACAATATCTCCAAGATAGGACTCCATATCTCACAATATCTCCAAGATA